AAAACATTATTTCCAATATCACATTCAGGGATGGAAAAGTCCCAAAGACTCTCTTGAACCGATTCCAGTTCTAGATTTTTTAATTAAAATTTTCCACGGTTCCAGTTCCGGAATTGGGACCTTACCATCACTGATCACAATATAACTCTCGGAAAATAACAAATTTGTTATTAATTATTTTAATTAATAATTACTAGACATATACTCTTTAAATAATTTTTTAAAAATTATTTTTTAATTTTCTAACCAACAATAACTTTTGTTCGATCGTCATATTGAATTGCTGATTGTATGTCCACAAATAAAGGTTCTGATTCTCCTCTTAATAAAAATATTTTCCAAAAAGTATGTCCAAAATCTACATAAATAATTAATTAAATTTATTTTTTATAAATTAATTAACCATTAATGCTTGATTGAAATGAATTCATTTTATGCCATTCTAAATCATCTAATAATGGAGAATTTTCTTCACCTTTTTCTTTTTCATTTCTTGTTGTAAAAATCAACAATGATTGGAATTCTTTAATTTTTTATTTTTATTTATTAACAGATTTTTAGTATATTTAAAGGAATTCACCAAAATTATTAGTTAAATTCTCTAATTTATTTTAAATACCTGCATTAATTGAAAAGCTCATTAACATAACTATAAATGTAAAGAACAAAAGTAATTTATCATCAAAATAATTTCTCATTTTTGCGTTGCAAAAATTTCAATAAACTAAAAATTATTTTAAATACTACACATTTATGATGTATAAAAATTAATTTTAAATTAATTTAAAAATTATTTTTTAACATTTTTCATAAATTTATTTATTTATTACCCGCAAGAAATTGACGTCCCTTGAATCAGTTCGAAGATAATCTTGAGAAGAATTAAATACTCAACTTCTTTTTAATTTTCTCATCTGTTCTCCTTTCATTTTTTCCCATCAAGCACAATAATATATCCTTGCAAGTCAATCAGTAAAAAAGCCAATTTTAAAGTCCAATTTTCCCTCTCTTTCTTTCTAGCAGCCGCTCTTAAACCCTTTAAACTTCAATCCACTTTTGTTTTAATAATATCTACCTAACTCTCTCATTTATTTTTCTCGTTTTTTAAAATAAAAAGTTGTCGTAATCAATATTGTTGTGAAGTCCAAGTGATTTTTTATCTTTAAGACTTAAAAACAAGGAAATTACAAGTCATCTGGCTATATTTTGAGTAAAAAAATAAAAAAGGCGAATGTTTGAATTTAAAAAGAGTTCCTTCAATTGAAAATTTGATTAATTTTTATGTCCTCTATTTTAAATAATTTAATAAAATATTAAAATAAAGATTGAAAAAATAAAATTCTTCTAATGTTTCTTTTTCTCAAGACGTTTCTTCTTTTTTTCAAGTTTCTTTTCTTTTTTCTTCATTTTCTTCTTCCTTTTTTTCTCTTTCTTACGTCTCCTTCTCTCTTCTTCTTCCAAATCAGAACTATCATCACTATCCTCACTATCATCATCAATTTCACTTTCAATTGTTATAATATCATTACCAGAAGAACCATTTTTTATTTCTAATTGAAAATTATTCTCCTAAAATTATTATTAAATTATTAAAAAGCTAAGGAAATAATAAATACTTGATTGCATTTTTCTTCCAAAAATTCATTTGGAGGCATTGCTGGTCCATAAACATTATCATCCTCTACAATATCCAAAATTGTAATAATACTTTCTTTTGAAATAATTGGCCTTTCTTGTTTTTGTTCGTCTTCTTTTTTAATTTCTTTTTCCTGTTTTTTCTTTGGTAAATGAATAAGTGCCTCTTCATCTTCTTCGTCTTCATCTTCTTTTTGAATTTCATCATCTTCAATATCGTCATCTCCAAAAATAGCTGATAATAAAACTATTGGGGCAAACTCCTCAATTTTCTTTTGAGAATTTATCTAAATAATTAAAATTTTTAATTAAAAAATTTATCAACAAATTCACCTCTTCAGTTGTTTCCTTCACTTCATTTTTTATTAATGGTATAGACTGGGGTTGTTCATTTACGGATGTTTGATCAAAACGAGAAGGATGCCTCCTATGTTGCCCATCTGTTGAACTTTTCCCTCCCAAATTTCCAGCTAATTCAATTAAAGAATATTCAGAAGAATAATCCTTTTGGCCTCCATAACGTTGTCCACTCAATCCAGGAACACCAAGTATTTGAGAATCTGGGTATGGATTAGAGATATTAAAACGTTTGCATAGGTCGGGAGCAGGATGCCATTCATGAAGTTGACGGGTAGCAGTCCCAAACTGATTAGAACCAACAGCTTCTAGTTGTGGATTAGACTTTATGGAGGACTAAATTAAATTAATAATTAGTAAAAAGGAATATATTCTTTAAAAGAAACAAACTCACTTCATGTTTTATTTGTTCCTCATAATCCTCTTTATCTACACCAGATTCACGCGCAAAGCGATTTTTTAAATGTTCAGCTATTGGGCGAGCAAAATCCAGTCTGGCTAGAGGCTTTTGTCTTTCTTGAACATCTTTAAGAAGAACACGTAACTCAGATGGGAGTGCTTCTTCAAAGTCTGCTTTTTCACTTTCCCATTGTAAAAGTGTCATTTCTGGAGGTTGAATAAATGGAATACCTGATAAATAACAAAAAAAATAATTAAAATATTCAAAATTATAACTTTACCTCTTTTAAGATAGCTAACATATTGACGAAATCTATGAGCCTTTAATGGCTCCTCTTCAAATGGCTGTGCTGTTAAACCATGATGCATTCTGTGACGATCATGAATATGTTTTGAATGATGTTCTCTCTATTAAATAATCTTTAAAAATTATTTCAAAAATTCATTACATTATCATTTTTAGACCCATCAGAAATAACAAAATTATTTATTTTTAATTTAGCTCTCTGTTCATTACTTAACATTTCCATCACTGAATGATCACGCTCCCCAAGAAGTTTAGCCCTTTGGAAGGGAGTTAATTGATTGCCAATTTTTGCAATAGCTTCAGGTAATTTTTTAGAAATTTCCTTTCTTCCAGAAAAAAGTAATGATTTTGTTCTGTTTGTACTTGGCCGCCAGCCAGGAGGAGGTGTATCAGCAACAAAAAATTTCTGAGATTTTAACGAATTTTTGCCTTGCATAGTGCTAGATGATGGAATGAAAGTTGAATCAACTAAAAAAATTAATTAAAAATTAAATAACAAAAACACTAACATTTAGGCACATTAAGTTGTGTTGATTGAGTAGAACCAACTTCAAAATCGTATTGTGTCAAATCATAATTAGTATAAATATCTTCATCATCCTCTTCAAATGCACCAACACCAAATGCCTTTTTAAAAATATTTTAGAGAGAAAAATAGCAAAGAATGTAAAAGAGGAATTTTACAATAGGTGGAATTTTTACCAAAATCGGAAGATAGTTAGTCGATTTCCTTTAGAGGGTTGAATTGGGACAAGGCCATGGGACAAGCAAGCCACCCATTAAAATTTAAAAAAAATTCATCATTTACCTGCCCTCTAATTCCTTTTCCACTACATTTAGTTTTCTTCAATGAAGCAGTTACTCTTCCATATTTCTCTGAAAGAACACCAATTTCCTGTAAAGGTTTATAACCCATTCCATGAACATCTTCTTTTTGACAAATTTCCAAGGGTTTAATATCATCTGGAGAAAATTCTGCTGTTGGAATTATTTCTTCAATATCTCGAACAGTTTCTTCATCAAATTCAGCCTCTTTCCCAGAATTTTTTGCATCAATTACTTAAAAAATAACTTTTAGTTAGAAAATAATATTAAAAATACATTTCTGTCTCTCTAATGCGCGGCGAGTCATTTTTGCACCAACTCCTTTTCCTGGTCGCCAACCCATTTTGCGAAGAATACGTATTCCTATTGAATCACTGAAAAATATTTTAATTTTAAATTTAAAAAATTTCTTTTACTTCACAGGTCGAAGTAAAGAATTTAATTTATTTGCCAGACTTCCTTCATTCCCAACAAAATTACTAGTCGACGTTCCAGCTCTTTCCCATGCGAATAAACGCTCTTCGCCGGGTGCAGCCAATGTGTCCATAAAATCAGATTTTGTTCGAAATTTTCGCGAAGCAATTCCAAATTCGCCAAAATCCTCAAAAATAATTTTAAGAAAATTAACAATAAATTAAAAGTTACTTCTTCATCCATAAAATCCTCTGCCATTTGTTCAAGTCGTTCGCCACGTTCAGTTCTAGTAGATTTAAATGTTTGTGGCACCCAACCTATTTTTTGATTTTTTAAATTAAAATAATAAAACAACCATGTTTGGACCCAGCAGTATTAAAATATCCAGCAGAAAAGCCTCCAGTAAAAGCTCCATGAAAGCGACGTCGACCACGTTCGTCTGTCACAATTTCATCTTGAATGCCTTTTGGTTTCTTTGAAACAGCTGATTCTGTTAAAAGATAAAATATTAAATTTTTGTTTGCAATTAGTATTTATCTTGTAATTATTCTCAAAAAATAAAAGCCGTGCTTTGATAACGAAAATTTAGCCCTTTAATGAGTTTAAATGGAGAACTCCCCCAATCAAATTTATTGGCTCAAAAAATATATTTTCAATTTGCTACTTACTTGCTTCATCCTCCAACTGCTCAAAAGGTGTTCCATAAACCATTTTAGATTAAAAAATACATTCAATGATTTAAATCTAACAAAAAAAATTAATAAAATTAAATAATCAATAAAAATAAAACAAGCATTTTAACTTGTATGTAAATATTCATTTCAAGATTCAATTTTAATTGTAAATAAAAAAATCAGCAAAAAATTGGCGATCTATCGAGTTTTTAATCAAATAATTAAAATCGAAAAATTTAAACATTTCAAAATATTAATGTCACCACCAACAGAAAGCAAAATTTTAACAAAAAAATCAAAATATCTTGTAAAGATGCACTCAACCAAATCATTTAAAAAATAAAATGAGTGTATATACTTAAGAGAAATTAATCGAAAAAATTCGTTTTTTAACGTCTCTTGTCACGACCTCCCTTAACAAAGCACCAATCGGCTGATAATTCTTGACCAAGAAAGTCATAGCCATTCACTAAAATTATTTAAAAAATTAAAATTTAAGCAAAATAAGAGATTGGTAGAAATTAGAGATCAAGATTTTTGAATGGATTCCCCTGGGTTCCGGGTTTGATTTATTGGCATGGGCCGGGTTTTGGGCCTGTAGTCCAGGAAAACCCCAGGCCTTGGTTCAGGCCCAGCTTGATCTCTAGTAGAAATTTCAAATTTTAAATTGGATTTGAAATCTTAGATTCCTACATATAACAAAAATTAACAAACATCCAGCAATAGCATCAGCTGCTTCCTTTTGCGTCTCAAATTGAACAATTGCATAACCTTTAAAGTAGCCAGTTCGTCGATCAAGATTTAAATGCATATTTAATACATTTCCATAATCTTTGAAGAGATCTTTTACTAAAAATTTAAAAGAATTCTTTTTAAAAAATTATATTAAAAATACCATCTTCCTCCTGCGCTTCTTCATGGACATTTGTAACAAAAATTATCCAACCCTAACAATAAATATTAATTACAAATTTTGTAAAAATTAAAAAAAACCTCAACAGAACGCTGCGGCCCATAAAAACCATCATCACCAAGCGTTTCATATTCCTTCACATTACTCTTTTGAGATCCTTCAAAGCCACGTCCCTTCCTTTTAGAGACTCCCTTTCTAATTTCGTCCTCTGAAAATAAAATTTTAATTAAAATTATAAAAATAAAATTACATTCAGCATCTGGAGCGGTCTCATCCATAGCAATGTCGTCCAGCACAACTCCATCGTCCGCCATTGTTTTTATAAAATTATTTTTAATTTTCCGTTAAAGCTTAAAGGATAAAATGAAAGGATAAAACGTTAGTTAAAAAGACCGGAAAAATCATGCGAGAGTAAATTTTAAAAAAACTTGCGGGAATAACTCCCGCGGGAATAATTAACTCTCGCGGAATTTCCCGCAAATCGAAAGTGTGGGATTGCGGGAGCGGTATCCCGCAAAATCCCGCGCGGGATCCCTCCCATGCCGGTCTCTACAACCGATAAGAGAGAGGGGGGCAGGCTAAAAAATAATCTGAGACAAAATAGAGGATAAAGATAAAATCGAGACAAACTAATCAAATCTCGGATAAATGCAGAAACAGCGAAATCCCCAACAACGAAAAAAGGAGTAAACACAAAAAATTTAAAAATTAAATGTATTCAATTTAAAAAATGCATCGACCTGTTGAGCAATGAAATACAAAGGACTCAATCAACTTGGTGCTAGTGGACTAATAACCAAAAAAAGAAATAATTCAAATCAACGCGGAACTTGAGAACCCTAACAATGAATCAATCCAAAATTAGATAACAAATTTTATTTTAACAAAAAAAAAAGCATCAATTTTGTGGATGCTAGAAATCACCAAAAATTCAATTTTTCTTCTCCAAAATTTTTAAAATTTCTTTGACATTCTCCTTTGTTGCCATTTTCTCAACTCCTTCACGTCCATAGCGTTCAAGCTTGAGATCCATTGCTTTGAGATCTTCTTTCTTAGCCAGCTTATCAAATGTATTGAAGAAGAAAATCGCTCCTGTTATGGCAAGAGCCAAAGTAGTCAGCGAAATGACGACGAAACTCGTCCAGGCAGATAGAACGGTTGTCCAACTAACCAAAGACGAAGGCCCCTAAAAATTAAATCGAATATAATAATGACGATCAGAGTTCAAATTGAAACCTTTTGGAGATGAGTCGGAAAGCTGCGGCCACGAAAATTAGCACCGCTAGGAACTGATGAACTTGAAGAGGTGAAGCGCAAAACGCTAATTTGAAACGGACGACTTGCCAAAATGTTTGGACTAAATAATTTTAATTAAAATTTTTTAAAGATTCTGAAATCTAAAGATTATACCGGACGAGCATTTTCAAATCATGCGCCATTGCAAATGAATTGATCATTTTTGCAGGTTTGCTTAGAACAATTTTTTGAATAAGATTGAACATTTTAAATAAAATAGAATTGGCTAAATAATAAAAATACTTAAAATAATCATTAAAAGAAATTTTTATTGATTCGAAGGAGTTTTCAAAAAAAATGGAAATAAGTTCATTTAAACAATAAACGACGAAAGTTTATAACTTTACGAATTGATATTTCGAAAAATAATACACACTTCGCCAAAGTGAAACACGTCCACAGTACACTTCGTCCACATTGAAAATATTTTCATTTCGTACATAAGCGTAAAATTTTACAGGTTAATTTACCTATTTTCGATAAATATGTTATTTTGAACACGTGAATATAGCTAATTGGTTGTCGAACTAATTATCCTCCATCATCTTCGGTTTAAAGGAGAAGCTCACAGATTAAACTTGTCCCAATAAAATCAACTAGCTATTATTAAAGTGAAGAAGAAAAGGTTAACTAGCCAACACAAAGCTTTCAATTGCTTAGAAATGATCCTATATTAGAGATCGGAAGATCTAACCACCAAAAGAATATTCAACTCAAACAACTTCAACATAGAAAAATTTTGTTAACAAAAAATCTACTCGGAAAAAGATCCAAATTTATAATAAAAACAATCAAAAATTTTTTAATTTAATCTATGTATATTTTCTAGAGAAATTCAGCCTATCTTCTTTTTTCAAAATTTTATTTAACAAATCTATCCTCTATTGCTTCGCCAGTTCCTCTGCCTTTTTGTGGAATCATCTATATCTCCCGCATATAAAATTCCACCTCCGGGATGTGATCTCCATCTCTCCTAAAAATTTGTTTTAATTAAAATAAATAAATCTGAAAAAACCTCTCTAAATCTTTTCAAATCCATCAATAATCTGTTCAAGACTGAAGAATTTACCCTTATGTCCAGTAATGACTTCAGCAACTTAGAAGGGCTGAGAAAGATAAAGTTGAATCTTTCGAGCACGGCGAGACAGTCAATTTATCGCCTTCGAAGAGTTCACCCATTCCAAGGAGGCAATAATAACCTGAAGCGATTTGTAGTCTTGAGAATTTTGTTGAACACCATGAGCAACATTTAATGGAAAAAATATATTTAAACAATTAAAATAGTTAAAATTTAACCATAATGACGATTTCCAACAATATTAGGACCCATAATTCGAGAAGTAGAGTCCAACGGGTCAACAGTCGGATAGATTCCCAATTCAGTAATACCACGAGAAAGTACAGTTGTAGCAACCAAGTGAGCAAAGGTTGTTGTACTTTCGCGAAGCAATTCCAAATTCGCCAAAATCCTCAAAAATAATTTTAAGAAAATTAACAATAAATTAAAAGTTACTTCTTCATCCATAAAATCCTCTGCCATTTGTTCAAGTCGTTCGCCACGTTCAGTTCTAGTAGATTTAAATGTTTGTGGCACCCAACCTATTTTTTGATTTTTTAAATTAAAATAATAAAACAACCATGTTTGGACCCAGCAGTATTAAAATATCCAGCAGAAAAGCCTCCAGTAAAAGCTCCATGAAAGCGACGTCGACCACGTTCGTCTGTCACAATTTCATCTTGAATGCCTTTTGGTTTCTTTGAAACAGCTGATTCTGTTAAAAGATAAAATATTAAATTTTTGTTTGCAATTAGTATTTATCTTGTAATTATTCTCAAAAAATAAAAGCCGTGCTTTGATAACGAAAATTTAGCCCTTTAATGAGTTTAAATGGAGAACTCCCCCAATCAAATTTATTGGCTCAAAAAATATATTTTCAATTTGCTACTTACTTGCTTCATCCTCCAACTGCTCAAAAGGTGTTCCATAAACCATTTTAGATTAAAAAATACATTCAATGATTTAAATCTAACAAAAAAAATTAATAAAATTAAATAATCAATAAAAATAAAACAAGCATTTTAACTTGTATGTAAATATTCATTTCAAGATTCAATTTTAATTGTAAATAAAAAAATCAGCAAAAAATTGGCGATCTATCGAGTTTTTAATCAAATAATTAAAATCGAAAAATTTAAACATTTCAAAATATTAATGTCACCACCAACAGAAAGCAAAATTTTAACAAAAAAATCAAAATATCTTGTAAAGATGCACTCAACCAAATCATTTAAAAAATAAAATGAGTGTATATACTTAAGAGAAATTAATCGAAAAAATTCGTTTTTTAACGTCTCTTGTCACGACCTCCCTTAACAAAGCACCAATCGGCTGATAATTCTTGACCAAGAAAGTCATAGCCATTCACTAAAATTATTTAAAAAATTAAAATTTAAGCAAAATAAGAGATTGGTAGAAATTAGAGATCAAGATTTTTGAATGGATTCCCCTGGGTTCCGGGTTTGATTTATTGGCATGGGCCGGGTTTTGGGCCTGTAGTCCAGGAAAACCCCAGGCCTTGGTTCAGGCCCAGCTTGATCTCTAGTAGAAATTTCAAATTTTAAATTGGATTTGAAATCTTAGATTCCTACATATAACAAAAATTAACAAACATCCAGCAATAGCATCAGCTGCTTCCTTTTGCGTCTCAAATTGAACAATTGCATAACCTTTAAAGTATCCAGTTCGTCGATCAAGATTTAAATGCATATTTAATACATTCCCATAATCTTTGAAGAGATCTTTTACTAAAAATTTAAAAGAATTCTTTTTAAAAAATTATATTAAAAATACCATCTTCCTCCTGCGCTTCTTCATGGACATTTGTAACAAAAATTATCCACCCCTAACAATAAATATTAATTACAAATCTTCTAAAAATTAAAAAAAACCTCAACAGAACGCTGCGGCCCATAAAAACCATCATCACCAAGCGTTTCATATTCCTTCACATTACTCTTTTGAGATCCTTCAAAGCCACGTCCCTTCCTTTTAGAGACTCCCTTTCGAATTTCATCCACTGTAAATAAGATTTTAATTAAAATTATAAAAATAAAATTACATTCGGCATCTGGAGCAGTCTCATCCATAGCAATGTCGTCCAGCACAACTCCATCGTCTGCCATTGTTTTTATAAAATTATTTAAGATTTTCTCTTAAAGCTTAAAAGATAAAATGATTAAATCAACGAACGGTGGTTAAAATAATTTTTAATAAAAATTTAAAATTTTTTAAATTTTCCTTAATTTTTCGGTTTTGTTTAGTAAAATGATGAAATGCTGTTGTTATGTTATAATGGCATAAATAATCTGCAAAGAAACAGATGAAAACAATTAATTGACTTGAATTATGTCAAAAAGTCAGCAAGACTCTTTTGTCTTTACATTTATTTTCAGTCTCAGCACAAACCTAAACTAGAGACCGGCACGGGACGGGACCCCGTACGGGATTTTATGGGATCCCGTCCCGGAATCCCGGGTTTTTCGCGGAAAACGGGATTACCGGGATTCCGGGATTTACGGGATTAATCCCGCGGGATCCCGTCCCGGTCGAATTTTGAAAACCAAATCCCGTTCCGGGATCCCGGGAATTTTTTTCAAATTTACGGGATTTATAATTACTCCAGTAAACTGCCTGCGGAGCTGAAAAAGAAAGAAATCTAGCTTCTTGGCCGTCCAAAATTCTCAAAATTTATGCCTGCGGCGCTGAAAAAAGAAGAAATTTGGTGACTTTCTCTTCAAAAATTCTCAAAATTTTAACCTGCGGCGCTAAAAAATGAAAAAAGCTGGCTTCTTAGCCTTCCAAAAAAAGAAAAATTCGAAAAGTTTTGCCTGTGGTGGATGGATTACGAGTAATAAGAATGGATTTTTGGGATTAACAGAGATATAGAGGGATTATGAGGTGTACGTTGGTTTGTAAGGTTTAAATCGTCTTAAGTTCAATTCCGGAGGATTAAGAGATATATGATGTTGGGGTATTAGAAAAGGATATCATGAATTTGGGATTAACACCAGATTAAGAGGGAGTTGGAGGATAATAGGGGGTATCAGGGATTTATGGATTAAGAGGTATATCGAGGATCTGAGGATTAAGAGTATATTGAGGGATTAGAGGAATAATCCCCATATATCCATTCAAATCCAGTTGAGCCTCTAAATCCGCTATATTCGATCTAACCCACCGTTCTTCAAATCACCCTTTACCACTCCAAATATACCGATATCACCCTAAATCCACCTATAAGCATTCAAATCCTCTTAATCTCTTTTAATCCACTGATATCCCTCTTAATCCTCTTATATCAATTAATTCCTCCCTAATCCGTCGAAATCCACCGATATTATTTCCAAATCCGCCAATATTCAACATATTTATAATTAAAAAAAATTTTTATGAAAATCCCGGAATCCCGGCGGGATCCCGGTAAATTTGAAAACGGGATTACCGGGATTCCGGGATTTACGGGATTAATCCCGCGGGATCCCGTCCCGTACAAAATTTTGAAAAAAAATCCCGTTCCGGGATCCCGGGAATGCGATTTTGCCGGACTCTAACCTAAACCTTTAGGCTTGCTTGACAATAGAGTCTCGGCGACATAGCATCGAAACGCCTTTTTCTATGCCATAACTTTTATTTCGATCATTTCCAGAAATTTTCTTTATCAATTAGAATCTATATTTGTTTTTATTCTTTTTATTATCTTTATGAAAGGATCCGATCATTTCTTAGAAAGTTACACCCGCCGGTACTTATTTAGTTTCCCCCCCCAGTCAGTTTTTTCGAAAATTATGTAAAAATGGTCAGTCTGAACTACAATTGTAGAACCCATCGAGCTGTGTCGAATGACACCAAAATCAACAAAATCCGACTTGATTTGACCGAAATACAGACCCCTAAACCACAGGGACACAAAATCATAAAGACGAAAATCTATACAAATGATAGCTCATTTGAAAGAGCTCATCGAGCTGAGTCGAATGACACCAAAATCAACGAAATCCGACTTGATTTGACAAAGATATGACATAAATCGTCGACTCCGGTAGGTCTAAATAATGTCATAACTTCGTCAAATCTTGTCCGATTTCGTTGATTTTGGTGTCAGTCGACTCAGCTCGACGAGCTCTTTCGAATGAGCTATCATTTGGGTAAACTTTTTTTATTTCGAAAAATCACCCCCATGGTTGTTCAATTTTCAGGGGTCTGTATTTCGGTCAAATCAAGTCGGATTTTGTTGATTTTGGTGTCATTCGACACAGCTCGATGGGTTCTACAATTGTTGTTCAGACTGACCATTTTTACATAATTTTCGAAAAAACTGGCTGGGGGGGGGGGGGGAAACTAAATTAGTACCACACCCGCCTAAGTATGTTAAATCACGATTATTCGCAGTTAACGGCTCCTAACTTTTTTGAAAGACGGTAAAACTAAACAATTTCTATGAACAAAATAACCAGCACATCCAGAGCTTTTAATTAAAGCAAAAATTATTTGGATTGATTTAAAAACAAAAAAGTTATATCCCAAAAACTTTCGTTTTGATGCCATATTTTAAGACTCTTTCGTTACCTGGTAGATTTTAGCCTAAACCTTTTGAAGCCTAAACCTTTAGGTTTTTAACCATTTGAGTCTCATCACGCTCCCAAATTTTATTTTTATTTCTAGCTTTTTTTTATCGTTTGGTCTTCTTAATTAGTGTATAAAGATGAACCAGAACTGATATTCTGGTAATAGAAATCCCATAAATTAAGAATCACATAGATATTTTTTGAATTTATTTGTGATCTGTATATTTTATAAAGTTTTCCTCTAGAGCTTGAGAATTACTTGCCAAGTCAGGGTATTCTAGAGGCACTAAGATGAGAATAAGCATGCAACTTTAGAAAATCCACTTGTTAATTATAGAGGAGATCTAGGGCTACAAATTGATATATAATAAAGCATAAGATCGACTGATATTTTACTTTATATTTGATTGATAAAAAAGATGCAACTTTTCGATCTTTAATTTTTTCCATCTCTATTTATATTTTTATTTGTTTTTGTATCATTATTTGTTGTAAATGTTCCTTCGCTCATTGATGCCTTCAATTCATTATCTCCAAATTCATCATCATCTAAAGAACTTCCAGTCTGTCGACGACGTCTATCAAATTCTGCTTCACGAATTGCAGCAAAAGGACCAACACGAATTGCTGTTTGTGAATGACTTTTTGTTTTTAACGATTTTTTCAATATTTCGGCAGCTGTTAATTTTGCCTAAAAATTAAAAAATGTTTGAGAATTACTTTCCGAGTCACTATTAATTTTTGGTCTATTACACAATATCCGTCCAATCGACTTACGTCCAATCAATGTTTATATGTACGTCCAATCACATTTTTATCATTTATACTTAAAAATAAATATACATAATTTAACCGCATTCGTTTCAATTGAGGCGGCAGAAGGAAAATATCTTCACGCCTGCTGTTACACATGTCCAAATTTTATGAAGTTTGTTGATTCATTTGTAGATATGGATAGTTTAACTCGAATGCTTCTTAGAACCAGTGATACGCAACTGGTACGTGATGGTACTGCAACTTTATATAGAAATCGTTCTTTAATTGTAATGTTCAGTATTTAATGTAAAAACATTAAAATCGTTTCTTAAATTACTAATATTTTAAATGAATTTCTGTTAGCCCTTGAGCAAGGCGTTATAATAAATAAAAATTATTTTGATTATTTCTGAATTTATTTTTTTATTGCACGTATAAAATTTTGTTTGGACGTATAAACTTTGATTGGACGTTTTTAGTTTTTTATTAAATAAAATACTTTAGTATTTATATGCTCTTCACTCTTCCCTTTTTGTGTATTTGAGAGAAATGTTGGTTGTTGTACTCCTCCATTTTGTTTCGTTTCCATCATAATATTTTAATTTTTAAAATTAAATAATCTAAATTGTTTGAAGAAAATTTAAATTTAGTGGAGAAATTTCTATAAAAATAATTCTTTGAGGATTTTCGAAATAAATATAATTCGAATATTTAAAAGTGAGGTTAATTTAAAGGAAGGTAATTTTTAAATTAATTAGATAATTACTCTTTGATTTTCTTTTAAATAAAATTAGTAAATTCCTTTTAATCAAAAAATTTTATTAAATAAATTAAAAATTACAAAATATTTGGAATATATTTTATAAAACAGATTATATAATTTAATTTCTTTATTTAAAATAAAATTTATCAAACAAAGAAAATGAAGTAAAAATTTTTTTATTAATAATAAAATTTAATATAAATTTATTTTTCAGCTTGCACATTCACACACCTTCCATAAACACGCACCTTCCCACCCTTTAACGATTTTTTTTAGAAAAATTTTTTTAAATATTAGCCGCCCTCTAAAAGAATTTTTAAATATTTTATTTTAATTTTAAAAGTTGATAAGACATCTGGTACTTAAATTGGGTGCTTGTATACCTATTTAATTATAATTAAAAAATAAATAATTAAAAACAATTACTAAATACAAACAAATAAATTATTTATTTTAAATTATTTTTTTATTTCTAATTTTCTCTTAATAATTCCAAATTTTTGATTATTAATTCCAAAAAAAAACAGTTTTATATTTTTTATTGTTTTAGACGTTATACGAGAATTAAATATTATTAGCTCTAATTTTTTATTTAAGTTTGGTTGTCAACGTAACAAAAGAAAATAAAAATTAAGGAATTGAAGAATGAAAGAAATAAAAAGAATATATTTAAATTTTTTTTAAGATAATTAGAATTTTTGTTAATATTTTTAATTAAATAAATTTTAAATATTTTGGATGAAGCACTTTATAATATTTACAAAAATTATTTTTTTATTTTAAAATTTCAGATTTAATTTTTAAAATATATCCTTTAAAAGGATTTAACTTATTTTATTAATTTAAATTTTGAAAATATTTGAAAAGAGATTAAGTTGAAAAAAGAGGAAGTAAATTTTAAAATAAAAATTTTAAAGAAAGAAATAAGATATAAATATATTAAATTGTATTTTCCTATAAAAGTTTTTTTCGATTAAAGTTGAATTCACAATAATTTGACATTTATTTTTAAATTTATTTTTTTTCAATTGTAAATGTATTTTTGGATTAATGAAGAATGTTGATGTTATCCTATTAGAGAATAAAATTAAAATTTATAAACTTACATAAACTTCCGAAAATTTAAAAATATTGTAAAGATGATTCACCTAGCAGCATTTGAAACGTTTAGGTTAGAAAAAGCATTAGGCGATGACCCGTTAGCTCAGTGGTAGAGCTCCTGTATGTATGTTGAGCGAAATCGCTTACAATAACTGCAAAGAGGTCGCAGATTCGAATCCTGTCCGGTGGCTAAGCTTTTGTAACTCTTTCTATATTATTTATTTATTTTATCTAAATGTGTAAGATAAAATAAATATATCCATCTAAAATACAACAAAAAGTTGTCAATTTTTAAAAATTAAATTTAATTCTTAATAAAAAGATTTACTATTTTCTTTTTGTCTCATCCAATTTCCTTCAATTACTTTTAAAAATAAATTTAATATTATTTTTTGTTTTAAGCTAAAATAAATACAAAAAAAAATCATTTACGCGCAATTTTATTATATTTATACATATGTACACATATCTTCTTTTTTTCTTCTTTTCTTTTTTTATTTTTAATAACAAAAACCGTAAACTCAATTTCCTCTTTCACTTTTTACATTTTGCTCTCGATGAGGAAAAAAATAATAAAGAAAAAAAAGAAAAACATACGGGCACATACAAACCCCTTAAAGGCACTACAGGCTTTTAGAGGTGTGGGGAAATGAAAAAAAATAAAGAAAAGAGAGGAAGGAATGGCTAGTTTTTTTGTTTTAAGTTGGCCAAAAAATTTAAGAAAATATATGTTCGGATATTTATATTTTAAAAAAATTTTTTGTTAAAAGATTTTACTAGAATTTATATATTCAGACATAAATATTTTAGTTTTATTGCCCAGAAAATTTATAAAAATTTTATTTTTTCTAATAACAGGCAAGTTGTTTTTTAAATTTTCCGAAAATTATGTAAAACCTTTTTTAAAAAATGCCAAAAAAATTTATTTTTTTATTAATTTGAAAATTAAACAAAATAAAATTTTTAACTTTTTAATTAATATGATTAATATTAAAATATTCCAAAATGTTTATTTTAAAAAATAATAGAAAAAAGTATACAACTATTCTTATTTCTGAAGATTTATTAACTTTAGGTAGAAATTACCCCTTTTCAAAATTTTTTTGAAAAATTAATTTTTTAAACAAAAATTAATTTAATATTTTTATTTATTTTTTCTATTGATTTAAATAAAACAAACAGAAAACAAATACTTTTTTTGAATTTTATGGCATCGCCCAAGGCGGCAATTTTCTTTTTTTCACTCCTCTTCTCTCCCTCCTTTAGTTAAAAGTCATTCAAATTTTCTTTGTTAATTTTATTTGTTAAAACTTTTAAAAAATATTTTTTTAATTTTTTAATTTAAATTTAATAAAAAAATATTTTTATTAAAATAATTTAATTATAAAAAAATTGTAAAAATAATATTTATTTATGAAAAAAATTTTAAAAATAATTAAATATAGTAAAAATATTTTTATTTAGGTAAATAATTGAACAAAAATGTTTTGTTTAATTTAAATAAATGTCAAAAACAGAACAAAAAAATATTTCGAAAATGGTACTTATACTTTTTCCCCTACCCTTCCTCGAAAATTAAGAAAATATGTAGTTCATTCGCCGTTTCTTGTCGAGCTTACTTTGTCGGATTATTGCCTGACCAAATAACCAATTGTTCTCTTAATTAAATTTTAAAATTTAATGAAATTGACTAAATTAAATATATTAAAGACATATTTTATTCTTCTTAATTTGATCAGTACACCTCCATCTCATAACTTGTTAAAAATAGATTTTATCTGGATAGTCTTGAACCATTACATTCACCCAGCTTAACGAGTCGCATCAAATAAGCTGAGCCACACTCAACCTCCTGTCAAAGAAGATATGACACATTTATATTTATTAATGTCCATATTTGGCTTAATTCTGAGATACCTATACATTATTTGCGAGCTGAGTAATTTTGATATAAATTTGTAAAGAATTTTTAGTGTACTAAAAATTAAGTGCGCTAAATTTTTTTTAAAAATTAGTGTACTAAAAGATAAATACAACAAATTTATTTTTTAGAAAATTAATTTATAATTAAATAATGGAAGAAGAATATTCAAAAGAACAACAATTAATTAATCAAATAACAATAAAAGTACAACAAATAAATAACAATAAAAGTACAACAACATCGAATGCAGCAACAGCTTTATTTACAAGAAGAAGATTAATTAGTCGTCGTTTAAGTGGTGAAGAATTAACAACAAAAAATAATAAAATAAAAATAAATGAAGAAGAAGGAAGAGAAGGAAGAGGAGAAGAATATTTAATTAATAATAAATTAATTAATAATTTTAATTCAAATAATAATATATCAACTTCAGCTCCACAAACACCTAGAGATGGGATTATTGAAGGATTTCAAAAAAGGTAAAAAAATTTTTTTAATAATTTATTTATCTTTTAAATTAATTTAAAATTTAGCTAAGGATGGTAAAAATCCTAAAATTTTGTAAAATTCTTTATTTACTCCTTAAAAATTACACAAATATATTATTTTTTTTAATTTACAAAATAAAAATTTTGTGACAAATTTTTGTAACAATTTTTTAAATTAATCCGTTTAAAACTTCACTTTTTTAACCTAAATTCCTAAAAAAATTTTATTTTTTTAAATATTTACACTTCCTTTTTTTATTTTAATGTTTTTTTCGGTAATATTTTGGAAAAATAAAATTTTTTTAATAAGAAAAATTTTAAATTTAAAAACAATTTTTTATTTATTTTAACATTTTATTAAAAATATCTTCTATAGCACGCAAATTTATTCAAAAATATTTTTGTAAAAATTGGCCTGTTTTTGTTCTTTTAATTAAAAAATATTTTTTTTATTTTTAAAATTTAAAATTAAAAATCTACTTAAGTACATGCTATTTATTATATTTTTTTTGTTTTTGTGATAAATTATTTGTTTATTATATATTTAATTATTGTTTTTGTGCTTGTTTTGACATTTTATAATTTTTATTTTTATATTTTTTTCTACAAAAATACAAACAATCTTTTTTAAAAAATATTTTTTAATTTCCTCTCTTTTCAAATTTTTTATTTCCTTTTTTCCACTCAAAATTCCCACACTTTTTATAAAATATAAATATTTATTTGCCTATATTCTACTCGATAAAAAAATTTTTTAGAATTAATTGCCAACGTCAATAAATTGAATTGACAATTTTTTGGGTAATTAGTTTGTTAAAATTAAATAAATTGTGCCAATTTAAGTTAAAAAAGAGAAGAAGAATTTAAAATAAAACATTAAAAGATTTTTTTGAATTCTTAAAAATTATTCTTTTTTTTCTAATTTAGATTAAACATTTATTCACTCATTAATTTGTATGAAGTTCTAACCCCTATACATATTCTAACTCAAAAAATAACCTTAATTTTATCTAATTTTTACTATTAACCCTCCCCCCCCCCCCTCTTTCTCGCCTTTAACAATGAAAAAGTAAAATCTGAATATTATTGACTTTTAAACTTTCTAAATAAAAAAATATTTTTTTAACAATTCCTCTCAATTTATTCAAACAAAATCCAAAATTTTTCATCTTTTTTCCAATTTCCTTTTCTGTTTAATTTAGTCCTTTTCTCTACATATTTGCTGCTAGTCTATTTAATATTTAAATAGAAAATTTTTTTTGGCTATTTTTGGAATATTTAAATATATTTATTTATTAAAAATAAAATTTATTTTTAATTTTTAACAACATTAAAAGAAAATTTTATTTTCCAAATTTCCTCATTTTTTAATTTTATATTTAATAATTTTATTTTATATTCAATTAATTATTACTCTATTTATTTAGTTTATCCAGAAATAAACATAACAGAATTACTACTAATTTACTCTATAATTCATCAATTAAAATTTAAAAAGTAGTCAGTCCCCCCTTCAATTTTTAACCAAAAAAATTATTTAAATATTTTTTTTGTTAACATTAAATTGTCCTTTCAATTTTTTTATTTATTTTTCTCCCCCATTGTTAGTATTTATTCCCTCCTCACGCTAAAATATAAAAACAACTTCCGCAATCCTTTAGAAAAAATTTTATTTTTTTGCTTAATTTGCGTGTTACATTACATTTCTTTTTTCCAACAAAAAATTTTTTTGGTTAGTCCAATCAGTTTAAATATTTTGGAAAATTCTGTCTTTTAAATTTTATTTAATTTTATCTAAAAAGTTTGGTTTAAAATTGAGACTGTTTTAAAATACATTTTAATATTTAAATAAGGAAATAAAAAAATATTTTTTAAACTTTTATTTTAATCTTTTTTTAAATTAATTAATTAATTTTTTTGAAATTAACCAAAAAATTTTATTTTCTTTATTTTATTTTTAAAGAAAACTTTAAAATTAAACATTATTTTTTTAAAATTATTATATAAAAATAAATTTAATTTTAATTTTTAAATAAAATACAGATTTACATATATTTAGTAAATTAATTTTTATTTAAAAAATATTTTTTTATTTTTAATTTTCCACCATTTATTTTGTAATTAATACTTTAATATTTTTTTAAAAGAAAAAATTTTAAAAACTGGATATCTGATAAATAAATAAATATATTTTTTCACTCAATTTTTATGCCAAAATTATTTTCTCTTTTTTTTATAAAAATAAAAGGAAAATCTTTCTAAAATAACTAAATAACTTACTCAATTTTTTTCAAAAAAAAAACAATTCACAAAACCAAAATGGCCAAAACATAATTTTTAAATGCCGTTTATTTTTATTTCTTAAAATACCAAATTGACCGTAAAAATAAATTTAAAATGTTAAAGAATTTTATTTTTGGGTTTTTTAAATATTTATTTTTTAATTATTAAAACAATTTTGAATATTTAAATAAAAATAAAATCCTTTAAATATTTTTTAAAATTCTCTAAGGATGAACTTAAAAATAATTAAATAATTTATTATTTTTTAAATTTGTTTGTATGATTGAAAATTACATTTTTCAAAATCGAAACTTCTTTCTTTTTTTATAATTTTCTCTTTTTTTATTGACTTTCAAAAACACTTTTTTTCACAAAAAAAACTTTTTTTATTTAAAAATTTACTTCCCTCGCTAATAAATACTCAGACTTGGTCCTTCCTCCTCATCCTTCCCCAAAAGCTATAATAAGGCTTTTTAGAAATGTGGGAATTTTTTGAATTAAAGGAGAGAGGGAAATAAAAAATATTTATTTAAAAATCTGTGCCATTTTCTATTAAATTTAAAAAAAAGTTTTTTTTGTGATTTCCTTCTCTCTTTCTTTTTACCTCATTGACATTCCCGAGCGACACTTTCCTTTTTTTAAAAAGCTATAGCCCACCAAACAAGACAAAAATGCAATTAAAGTTTTGAAGGGGGAAAGGAAGGAAAGGAAAGTAAATAAAAAATATAAATATATATTAACTTTTTTGGATTTTTAAAAAAGAAATTATTTTTTAAAATTTGGCAACAGATTTATTAATTAATTAAAAATTATTTTGGTAATTTTTTGAGAGAAACTTTAAATAATTGAGATATTTAAATCATGTAATTATATACTAATACAGTCGTGGTCATAAGTTTAGACTCAACACAGAATTTTTTCAAATCGAGCCTTAAATGTTTAATATTTTATTAGCTTTTTCATTCTCAATTAATGGACTAGTCTTTTTCCAATTTAAAGTTAATATGTAGTTTATGTAAAAATCAAATAAAAAAGTTTTTACTTTCAATAATAATTAATTTTTTTTAAATCTTTTTTTTTCAAAAAATTGCTTTTTTTAAATCTTTATTTTTTTTAGTTTTTAACCGGAAAATATTTTTTGTCAATTTTTTGTGTTTTGTGCCAATAATTGAAAGTTTTTTGCTCGGCTTTTCTTGGCTTTATCCAAACATCACCACAAATAGACCAAAAAATGTGTTTAAACATTTTACCTAATATATACTTTTTTGCTAAATTCTTTGCTTTTCCTCCTCCGCAAAAACTTTTTTCACAAAAATATTCTTTTATTTATTTAGTTTTTAATATATTAATATTATTTTTAAATAAATAAATATAAATTATTTTTTTAAAAATTATTAATAGAATAATAAAAATTAAAAATATTTATTTATTATGTTACAACAACCTCAACACCAACTTTTTGATAAGTAAATAAATAATTTACTTTTTCTACTTTAAATTATCCTATTTTTCTTAAAATAAAATTAATTTATTTTTAAAGAAATTCACCTTTACGAAGTTCTCTACGTAAACACCGTGTTGATGCCAACGGTAAACAACAAAGATCCCCTTCCGGTCGAAAAACTGTTTCTTTTTGTTCTTCACAAAATGCAGAAAATAAACGTTTACTTGTTTCTAATGGTTATTAGAATTTAAATTAATTAATTTTAAAAGAAAATATGAAATAAATTAGTCTTTTAAATTAGTTTCCCTTCACAAGAGAAATAATTTATTAAATTAATATTTAAATAAATTATTAAAAAAATAATTTTTAAATTTAAAGTTGCCGACTGTTTTGCTTTAATGCAGGCAGGCACTGAATTGATAAAATTAAGAACAAATGTTAGACAATTTAGAAGAATATTTTCTTTAGATGCAGATATGGTTAATTAATTAATTTTAATAATTAATTTAAAAATTAATTGTCAGGCATATATTCGTTGGACACCTTCAAATAAAAAACCTCACAAAGCTAGAAGTATTTTTATTTAATTTAAATACCTAAATTTAAATAAATTAAAGTTTCAATTGATTCAATAAAAGAAGTTCGTGTTGGGTGGAATTCTGAATTACTTAGATTAACTGAACCAATTGTTTCTCTTGAAATTAATGTTTGGAGTTTCTTTTAAATTAAATAAATTTTAAAATTAAAATAGGAAGAATGTGCATTTTCTATAATTCATGGGGATGAGCATGAATGTTTAGATTTAATTGCTTTAAATGCGAGTGATGCTAATATTTGGGTAAACAAATATTAAAAAAAAATATTTTCTTTTTTTTTTAAAGATTACGGGGTTAATTGCTTTAGCAAGTGAAGGAGTTCCTTCAATTAGAGGGAGGGATGTTAGTGGAAGTTTATATTCTTCCCCAGCAAATTTACGTGAAAGATGGCTGTCTTCTTCTTTTAAAGAAATTGATCAAGATGTTTTTTTAAATTAATTTTAAAAAATAATTCCTTTTCCTTTTTTTAAAGATTAAGGGTTATATAAGTGAAAAATCGGCTGTAAGGCTTATTCATTCATTAAATAATCGTTTACTTATTTCGAGAATTAAACAGAAAGTAAAAGAATCAAGTAATTTAAATGAAATACAAAAAGGAAGAATTGATGAAACACATTTTATTGATGTTTATAAGGATTTGGCTACTAGACCTGAAATTTATTTTTTGATGGTTAGATATGCAAATAAAGATTATTTAAATATTAATGTATGTTTGTTTGTTTATAATTTAGGCTACCTAAATATATTTTTTGATGACAAAAATAATTTTTCCCCAAAAAGTTATCCTAACAAATAATAGGATTAAAGCATTCTAACAATAAGAACTGTTCGTTTTACATCAAATTTTTTGTTTGAGAGAATAGTGTACCTTGTACCCATTTCAGAATTGACTTTAAAAAATTTTTTGTGAGTAATTCCAAGTTTTTTTTGTTTAGAAAATTAATTAATTTCCAAAATTAATTTAAAGGATTTACAATTATTCCTCGAGACAGAGCAAGGCCTTTCTGGAATAACTACACAATTTTGTGAAGATTTAATAGATCAATGTGAACCTTCAAATGAAGCTAGAGAATTAAATATAATGACTGTAGACGGATTCTCTAATTTTTTACATTCCCAAACAAATTCTGTTTTTGATCCCTTGCATTTAAATGTTTGCCAAAATATGGAAAAACCTTTTTCTAATTATTTTATTTCAACATCTTTTAATACTTATTTGGTAGAAGATCAATTAAGAGGGCCGAGTTCTTTAGATGGATATACTTCTGCATTGAAAAGAAATTGGTAAATTAAATAAATAAATAAAAATAAATATTTTTTGATTGACGAATCTCATTAAAATATTTACTAAAAATAAATTAAATTGTTTTTGTGATTAAAATAAAAGCCTTTCTAAAGAGCAATATTCTTTCCAAAATAAAAATAATTTTTTAAAGTCGATATATTGAATTGGATATTTGGGAACCCGATGATGGAGGAGGAGATGAACCTGTTCTTTTTAATGGTGGAACTTTAACGAGTAAATTACCTTTAGGTCCTGTACTCGATTTAATTAATGAAATGGCATTTGAAAGAACTAGGTAATTAATTAGAATAATTATTTTAATATTTCTTTTAAAGATATCCACTCTTTATTCGATTAGAATTACATTTACATTCAATTGATTGGCAACATAAATTATTAAATTTATTGGAATTAAAATTAGGTTCTCGTCTTTATCGTCCATTAAATGATTCGACAGATTGGAGTAAAGAATTGCCAACACCCAAAAAATTTTTAAATAAAATAATTCTTTCTGTAAGGGATTTTTTGGGGAAAAAATAACTGAAAAAATATTTTTTAGGGTCCTTATTATGGAGGAAATGCTCCAATAGGGGAAGTTGAAGAAGAAGACGAATCTTCAGAATTACTTTTACTTGCAGAAAATAATTTACAAAATGAACAAACACAAAAAACTAAAAAGCGTTTAATGCCTTTATTGCGCGAAATTAGGGATTTAATAGCTCCTTTTGCTATTTTTGGAAGAATTAATGAATGTGGAGATTTAAATAAATGTATTAAATATTTGAATTTAAATGTAAATAAATATTTTTTAATTAAAGATTCACCTTCCCGCAATATTATTTCAATCTCTGAAAGTGATTGGTAAGGAAAAAAGATTATTTTTTATTTATAAATAAATATTAAAATTAATTTTAATTTAATTTAAAAATAATTTCTTTTCAAGTATCCGTCTTGCCCATTCTCAACCAAACTTTTTCTTTTCTTCTCCTCCCTCCCTTTCATCACAAGAAGATATAAATTTAAATTCTTCAAACTCCCTCCGTCTTATACGTGTATTTCCAAGCCCTCAACGAATAGATTCTTCAAATTTAAATCCTCAAGAATTTTGGAATTTTGGTTGTCAATTTGTTGCTTTAAATTATCAAACGCCTGGATTGATGATGGATTTACAAGAAGTTTTTAAAGAAATTTTTGGGTAAAAGAAATTAATTTTTGAAGGGAAAATTTCTTGCAAATGGAAGTTGTGGTTATGTACTTAAACCTTCAATAATGATTGAAGAAAATTCTTCTTCCTCTACAGAATTAATTAATAATGGAACAATTAATAATTTGGAACAATCTAAAAAATTATCTTTAAATCAACACCAATCTTTAAATAATAACAATAATTTACGTTCAACACAACAAATACTTCATTTAAAAGTTCTTTCTGGACAACAATTACCTAGACCTCGCGCTTCTACTGCTAAGGTGTTTTCTTTGGGGAAGGGAAATTGTTTAAAATAATTTTAAAAAAAAGGGAGACACAGGCCTCGATCCTTTTGTTGTGCTTGAAGTCTTTGGCGTCCCTGCTGATTGTGCTGAAGAACGGACAAAAACTGTTAGGTCTTCTGATGACGATAATTGTTTTAATCCAACATTTGATGAAAGTTTCCAATTTTCTGTTTCTGTGCCTGAATTGGCTTTAATTCGTTTTTTGGTGTTAGATGATGATTTTATTGGGGATGATTTTATTGGGCAATATACAATACCTTTTGATTGTTTACAGAGTGGATATAGGTAGGGGTTAATTGAAATTAATTAATAATACCGTTATTTAATATTCAATTGTGTTTCTCTATTTTTTTCTATTTAAAAATATTTTATTTTTAAATTCTTTTAATTTTCTAGACATATTCCTTTATTAAATAATGAAGGGGAACCAATGGAAGCAAGTACATTATTTGTACATATTGCTGTTACAAATAAACGTGGAGGAGGGGTTTGTGTGTTTACTAAATTAAATTATGTATAAATTCTCTTAAAGAAACCAAAAAAGAGAGGATTATCTGTTAAACGCAAAACAAGTAGAGTACAAACAGGAATGAAAATTATTGGAATTAAACAAATTGATGAATTGTTTAAATCGGCTAGTGGCCCTCTTGCTCAATTTATTGAATTAAAAGCTGGAATGGAATTAGCTATGGTATATATTTATTTAGATTTGTATTAGGTAAATTAAATTATCAGAAATTTTTCATTAAAAAGAATAATCCTTTAACCTACCAAAAATTAATTAAATAGATATTTTTTATTTCCCAAACAGTCTGTATATCTAAACTTTTAAAATTACTCCTCAAAATTTTTTAAATTAATTTAGACTGTTTGGGCAGAAGAAAGTGGAATTGGAGTAAAAGGTACTCTTGCACAGTCAATAGTTAAATTACACTCAAGAGCATCAAAAGAATGTAAATATTTTAATTAAAAATAATTAATTGTATATTTATTTATTTTTTTAAGTATCAACAACAGATTCTTTAAATAATTCTTCCTCTTCTCTTTTTATAATTAATAAAAAAATTGAAAATAAAATTGAAATTGTAAATTTAAATTAAATAATTTAAAAAATTTAAATAAATTTTTCAGTTACAATTAAATATAACAAATAATTTAAATGTGCCTGATCCTTTACAAAAAGCTTTTTCTGCTTTAGATAATTTGCTCAAACAATGCTCTGTAATTAAATAAATATTAAAAATTATTTTAATTTTTTTAAAGGATATAAATTTAAAATCCAATTCTCTTTATATTTCTTTAAATGAATCGAGTAAATTAATTTCTGAATACGAATTGGGATTACAAAAAATAATTTTTGATGCCGGTCTTCGTGGTCAAAAAGCAACGTAAATAATTTAAAAATTTATTTTTAAATTAATTTAATTGAAAAAGGCGCGCTCAAGAGAATTTTGGTTGGAATGTTCGGTTACTTAAAGCCCAACTTGGATTAATGCAAGAAACTTTTTCTGATGCAAAACAAGTTCTTGAACAAGTTTCTGAAAGTGGAAGAGTTTTAAATATTTTAAGAGAAGGAGAAAAAGAAAATAAAGAAGAGGGAGGGGATTAAATAAAGGAAAAAAATTAATTTTAAATTGCTAATTCCCAATTAATTAGTTTCTATTATTTTTTAATTCTTCAATTTAAATTTTCTTTATTTTTATTTCTTTTTACTTCATTTTTCAATATTGCCCAGAAAATCTTCAATTTTTAATGATCCTCAATTTATTTTTTTAATATTTTATTGCCATAAATATTTTTATTTTACGGGGATTTTAACTTTTTTTCTTTTTTGATCAACAATTCATCATATTTGGGATGTTTACTATTCAGATACAGACTGGAGGATTGATATCTGAATTTGTTGACACATTTTTTTCCACAGGCTCGTCTACTGAAAAAAAAAGATGACTTGTAAAATGCAAAGTCCTAAAAATATTAAAAAATCGGAAGAAAAATGTTTATATCTGCAGAGTGCACTTTTATTGCAATAAATATTTTTATATTTATTAAAAAGATTTTAATTTTAAATAAATTTTCTTTTAAAATTAAATAATTATTAATTTTTAAATCCAAATACACATTTCCAAAATTCCTCCAAATAAAATCAATTTTTCAAAGAACAGCCGTTAAAATAAACAAATTCTAATAAAAAAAACCCCTCCATCATTTACTATTTTCTTTTTAAAATATTTAGAGGAATATGGGAAAAGTTGAGTAGAGATTTGAAATGATTAAGAGAGAATATAAACGTGGGTGTATTTTATGTTTTTAGATTTTTTAACAGAAGGATTGGCAATAAAGGAGAATTGAACATTAGAAATGTTGAAGATCGAAAAAGAAAAAAAATATAGAAGAAATAAAGTAAGATATTGAATATACTTTCAATATTTTCACTAGTAAAATACGAGATTTTCTAAATAAAATAACGGCTGTTTCATTTTATTTTTTTTCTTTAGTTATTAATTGTTTAAAATATATAAATATTTTATTTATTTATTAAATTAAATTTAAAATTAACATAAAATTTTTTCCCATTAAAATGTTTACTTAGAAATTTAAATTTTTTATTTAAAAGTTTATCGAGTAAAAAAATTAGTAAATATATTCAGAATCTTAAAATATTCTTTTTATGTCGAACTTCTCCATATCTCCGATTAATCTTTATAAATATTCAGTTAAGAACAAATAATCGTCCACCACCAATTTCTTAATTTTTTATAATTAATAATGTTGAACCTAAGTTGTTCAATCTGTTAGTGAAAAATATAGAATGAATTGAGAAATTTTAACAATTTTATATAATATAAAGCCTGAATAAATGCTTCTAATGGATTATTTAATTAAAAAATATTAATTTTCACAATTTACCTCCTCACTTTCATTATTTATTTTTTTAGATAAAAATATTTTTATTGTACATACTTAATGAAATAGAAAAATTTTTTAAACAAACAATTCAAATAAATTTCTTAATATAATGACATTTGGTTATGTCCGTCGCTCTAGATCAGTAGATTTTTATAACGGAACACAGTGAGTTTTGTTAATTGTTTGGGAAGTATAATGGCCGTGGGTGGGGGTATGTGGGGTTAGGAATCTTGGATTTTTGAGTTTTCTACTAAGATATAATAAAATTTTTAGAGAAAAATATTTGTCACGATGGTCACGCGAAAATACACCAATGGATTGTGTAGATCGTTATTGTCATAATGTACGGAGATCATTTACCCCTGTTCGTGATATTGCAGGATATGAAGTTAATTTTAAATAATTAAATATATTTTTGCTAATTTTTGTTTAATTAGCTAATTTTTCCTTCAAAATTCTTTTAATAATTAACAAAAATTTTTATTTAGACAATAAGAAATGATAGGCGTTCTCGATCAGTAGACAGTTATCGCTCTCCTTTGGCTATTGTAACTGCACCTTATCACACAAATATAAACTATTATCAAGAAAATCAGCCAGTTAATTTTCTTCAAAATATTTATTTGAAATTAATTTAGGTAAGAAAATATGATATCTTCCAAGCAAGAACTTGGTCATACCCAATTTACAAGTATATTTTTAATTAAAATGAAATTTTAATTACTACCTGTATTAAGATATATTTATGGAAGAGACCAACATTATACACGTCCTAGTAGTTATACACGAGTTTATGGACTCCAGTCTTTATATACGGTAAAGATGCTATTTTAACTTCTAAATTATTAATTTAAAGCCAACAATGCTGGCACCAGAAGCAAAGTTGCGAACTGAAAGACGCTCATATTCTGGCTATAATTATGTAGCAGGAGAGGTAAATAAAAAAATAGAAAAATAAATTTTAACATTATTTATTTTAGCACAGCTTCAATCTGTCAGCCAAACCATGGTCACAATCTAATTATCGTTTCCTACGCGTTTCACATATTTCTAGGTAAGTTATTCAGATCCTTAAATTTAAGTGTTAATTTAAATCTTTAAGTGTTCCATGGTACTTCCACGGAAAAGCAAATAATTTGAGACATTACAACAGCTACCGGCCGCCAGCCTATACTCCACGACTTTCTACTTATTGGAAAAGCTACTTCTGATTAATTACAATATTCAAGAAATTATTTTAAAATATTTTTGAACAAGGCTTGATCTGAATTTTTTTTATTACAAAATTAAAATATTCTAAGACAATACTAATGTAAAGATTTGTTCTAAATTGACCTTTAGATTTAAAAAAAAATAAAAATAATCAAGCCATGTTATTGCTGCCTAATGTAAAATTACAAATTGTTTATGAAATATAACATTTTTATTATCTCAAAATTTTTTCAAGCATTTTATAAAATAAAATACGTATAACATTAACAAATAATTATAAAATATATTATAAAATATAATTAACTAGAAAAACTAAATATTACTTTTAAAAATTGAAAAAAGTTAAATTAAGGCAAGAAAAAAGCGGAAAATACCCGCGTTAGAATTATAAAAATAAATTTAAATATTATGGCAGTTAAATGTAGGACGGTTATAAACAAGAAGTTGATTTTCTATTTATCGGTTCCACTCAATAAATTCCTTTTTCAATCAATGGATAATTTACAAGAATTAGCAGTTGGCACACAATCTTTATATTCTCTTAAATTAGGATTGTCCAAATCCCCACGACTTTCTCCTCCTTTTATTTGTTTTTTATCTACGCCCAAATTTGATAAGGGAGCACCAAAATTTTTGACACAAACACAACGTTGATTTTGAGTTGTAGGTTCAAATAAAAGACGAGGCACTCCAACCTTAATATTAAAAAAATATTTTTCTAATTTTCACAACTTAAATATTCTTTAATATAAACTTTTAAATATTTTAAATATACTACCCATTCACGAGCCACCCCTCCACTTCTTGTAGTGCACCAAACTCGACCTCCCGTCTCTTTGCGCCATTCAGAATTACAAGGTGGAAATGCCTCCATATCGATTGATTTTTGTTGTTTTTGTATTTTTAGTTGAGAAATTTTGGAATTTATCTAAAAATATTTTATAAAAATTATTTTGGTATTTAATTAATTGAAAAATAAAATTAAGATTAGATAATAAAGATTACATTATCAAGTAAAGGTGTTGGATTTCCATCTCGGTCATAATAAATTCCAAAAAGAACACCAACAAATTTATAATCTTTTTCATAAAATTCAATCCAACTAGCAATTGAAAGTAATTCCTCGTCTGTTAATCCGCTAATCTTAAATTAAATTAGGTATTTATAAGGCTGTACTTTAGCCGGTGGCCCACTAAGAAACGGGTCAAATTATATACCATTCGATTCGTCTCGGCGAGCTGAGTCGAATGGTACCACTCTTTTTTTGCGGAAATTCCTACGAGCCGAGATATAGGTCCTTGAAAACCGAAAAACCAAAGGGGGGACCAAGCACTTTTTTGGGGTGAAAAATTCGAAAATGCAAATAATATCTCATTCGAAAGAGCTCGTCGAGATGAGTCGAATGACACCAAAATCAACGAAATCCGACTTGATTTGACAAAGTTATGATTTTTTATTTTAGCTCCTTACCTATGGCATCTGTGGAGATTTTTGCAGCTACGGAGGCCCCAAATACGTCCAGAGCAAGGGAGATAGGAATAGGTTTATGTTACGAGCCCAGACCCAGCACCCGTAGACTCCCCGCGAGGCGCGTGCCGCAAAACTCCGCGCGAAGCGCGGAGTTTTGCACAAGCGCCTCGCCTACGCCCCTTAGGTTTAGGTTTTTTGTTTTTTGTGTCATAACTTTGTCTAATCTTGTTCAATCACGGTGATTTTGGTGTCATTCGACTCAGCTCGACGAGCTCTTTCGAATTAGATATTATTTGCATTTTCGAATTTTTCACCCCAAAAAAGTGCTTGGTCCCCCCTTTGGTTTTTCGGTTTTCAAGGACCTATATCTCGGCTCGTAGGAATTTCCGCAAAAAAAGAGTGGTACCATTCGACTCAGCTCGCCGAGACGAATCGAATGGTATATAATTTGACCTGTTTCTGAGTGGGCCACCGGCTAAAGTATATCCATTTATAATTAGGTATTTTAAAATTAATTTAAATATGGGCTTCGATTTTTGTGGATTTTTCCTCATTTTGTGGGTTTTTGATAGGTCGATAAGGATTATCTTAAAAATGCGAATTTTTGTGGTTTTTTGAAGATTTAAATGAATTAAAATATATCTTCAAAATTTACATCATCAGAAAGTCCTTCTTCTGAAAAATCGCCCGACACAAATGCTCGAGTTGCATCTCGACCTTAAAATTAAAATATATTTATAAAAATTAACTTAAATAATTATAAAATACTCTTAAAAATGTTAAATTATTCTATGAAGAATGGAAAAAAGGAAATTATTTTAAAAATACCAGCAAAAAAGTTATATCCACCACCACGTCCATAATGCTTTTTTCCTTTTTCAACATTAAAAACACGTCCAAGTATTGCCAAATAAACAGGCTTCGAAGAACGAGTCCCATCAAATAAAGCAAGTTGATCAGTCGTAAATACAAAATAATTCTCATTTTTATCAAGTTTAAAAGAATTCCCGTTTTCTGAGGAAATTATTTCTAAAAATATTTAAATGAAAACAATCGATTAAATTCAAAAAACCTTTTCGTTGCTTCTGCTTTAAACCTTCATTTCTTTGACTTTCTGAAGTTTTACGCCGTGTAAAACTATTGAACAAATTTTCAATAGGAAGAAATCCACAATTTTGTTTAACCTGTAATTATTTGAAATATAGAAAAATAAAATTATTTTTAGATAAATAAGTTTAAACAGTATCGATATTATAAAGAACCGGACTTCCATCGAATCCAAAATTACTAATTTAAACCCAATATTATTTAAAAAAACCTTTTGTAAATTTATCCGAAAAAAGTCATAAACAGGCTGCATAGGGATTTCCACGCCATAATATGAAATTAATGCAGATATAAAAGCAATTTGAAGAGCAATAATTATTAAGGGTTTAGAAAAAGGTTCATCAATTGAAAATCTCAATAAACGACCCATCCTTGAATGTTTTTCTTAAAAAATATTATAGAAAAAATGAAAAGGAATAAAAATAACCAGTAAAGGAATATTAGAGTAAATTTAAAAGTAGAGTAAATGTATTAAAATAACTTATTTAAAATTATCAAAAAAAATATAAAAAGAATTTATTTTAAAAATTATTTTTTCTATTAAGATTTACAAAATATGTACTTAAATCATTATGATATAGATAAATATATAAACTTAAAAATATATAAATGTCAATAAATATAATTAAATTATAAATAGTCAAAATTAATTAATTAGAGAAGAATATCTAAAGGTATTTTTTGTCTTCAGAAGTATTCATGGCCACGAATTGCACAAAACATTTGGTCACTCCGAGTTGCATTTGCACAAACACTGTAAGGAGTACAGACTTTGTTTAACGGATAACAGCGCTGAGCAGTCTCACACATGTACATTTGTTTAGAGTGTCGAGAACATTGTTTAAAAGATATGGAAAATTTTAAAAAATTATAGTAGAATAACCTTTACAAGTGCAATTAGTTTCATCTGATTCGTTCAAGCAATCAGGCTCCCCATTGCAACGCGCGTTAGGGGGAATACAACGAACTTCGGTTTGACAGAAAAAGCTCCATTGGTACAGGCAGTGCAATTGCGTTCATCTTCTCCTCCCAAACAATCAGAATAACCTGAAAATGATAAAAGAATAATTTCCAGATTTCCATTCAAATTTAAATTACCATCACACTTGTGAGAGTTAGAATAACAGCGACGAAAAATAAGACATTCATGAATGAATGTCTTACTGTGGCATTCATTCATGTCAGGGGTTTTGCAGCTGCAGTCCAACTCATCAGAGCCATCTAGGCAGTCAGGTTTTCCATCACAGACCTTGAAATTTAAATTACATGGATTTTTATATTCGCCACTCAAAAATAAAATCTCCCGTGTCGTTGGGTAGGAAACAAAAAAGATTCCCTCCCCCCTTCAGTAGCGAAGGTATAACTAAAGCAAAAAGACCAAAGAACGATGAATGCACTCCGGAAAAGTTTTATCAGAAACACTCCTGTTACTCTCCAATGTTAAATTGCTTTCATTTGTTCCATTTACGTTGTTTTGAATAGATTGCAATGAATGACATTGGAAGACTCTTGCAGGATTGCACTCTTTACATTTAAAACGGCATGTTTAGAGAAGGCCATCACATGCATATGACCAATCGTGGAAAAGACCCAATCGTGGAAAAGATTGATGCTGGGCAAGAAAGCGTCGTTTGACATTCTAAAATTTAGAATGTTTGTATTAAAAACAAACAAAGAACCTTGACAGTCAATTTCATCGCTTCCATCCTCACAATCTGGATGTCAGTCACATCGACGATTCTTCCGTCACAACGACGCCCAAATGCCAGAGGAATTGTCGCAATGAGCAGCATTATCAGCACAGCAGCAATCAAAACCAACGCCAACGACGGAATAAAAGAGAGACAAGTACAACATCTTCTAGAAAGCCAAAGTCGAAAATTGTCAGCTCTGTAGTGAAAATTCTCCCAAAGATTCCCCCTTTTAGAAACTCCCTTTCTAATTTCGTCCACTGAAAATAAAATTTTAATTAAAATTATGAAAATAAAATTACATTCAGCATCTGGTGCAGTCTCATCAATTGCAAAGTCCAGCACAACTCCAGCCATTGTTTTTATAAAATTATTTTAAATTTTAGCTTAAGGCTTAAAGGATAAAATGATTAGATATGTACATATAAACGAACGCTGGTTAAGACAGAAAATAAAAAGGAATAAAAATAACCAGTAGAGTAAATATTAAAATAATTTATTTAAAATCGTGTCTGGTGATTTCGGCAGAAGTGACGTAGGCAGTGGTTAAATGGGCAGTGAGTGAGTTAGGCAGTGAGGTGAATTGGGCAGTGAGTGATTTGGGCAGTAAATTTTCTTCCTCAGGAATATGTTTATAACTAGGGCTCGGATTTGTATTGAAATATATTTTTTCCTGAATATATTATGCCTCCGAGCTTGTGCTGATCATTTACACTTTAAGATATACTTTTAAATTTGTGAGCATTATAGTTTTTTAATAACAATAATTTACTGCCTAAATCACTCATAATCTGATGATACTCAAATTGTTTTTATGTGGAAAATATTTTTTTTAAAAAACGTTTACTGCCTAAATTACTCACTGCCCAATTCACCTTACTGCCTAACTCACTCACTGCCCATTTAACCACTGCCTACGTCACTTCTGCCGAAATCACACAGCACCTTTAAAATTATCAAAAAAATATAAAGAATTTATTTTAAAAATTATTTTTTCTATTAAGATTTACAAAATATGTACCTGAATCATTAGGATATAGATAGGATATAGATAAATATATAAACTTAAAAATATATAAATGTCAATAAATATATATAAATGTCGATAATTTTTTGTCTTCAGAAGTATTCATGGCCACGAATTGCACAAAACATTTTATCCATCCGAGTTGCATTTGCACAAACACTGTAAGGAGTACAGACTTTATTTAATGGATAACAGCGCTGAGCAGTCTCACACATGTACATTTGTTTAGAGTGTCGAGAACATTCTTTAAAAAGATTTCAAAATTTTAAATCATTATAGAAGAATAACCTTTACAAGTGCAGTTCATTTCATCTGATTCGTCCAAGCAATCAGGCTCCCCATTGCAACGCGCGTTAGGGGGGATACAACGACCTTCGGTTTGACAGAGAAAAGCTCCATTGGTACAGGCAGTGCAATTGCGTTCATCTTCTCCTCCCAAACAATCAGAATAACCTGAAAATGGTAAAATAATTTCCAGATTTCCATTCAAATTTAAATTACCATCACACTTGTGAAAGTTAGAATAACAGCGACGAAAAGCAGTCTTACTGTGACATTCATTCATGCGAGGGGTTTTGCAGCTGCAGTCCAACTCATCAGATCCGTCAAGGCAGTCAGGTTTTCCATCACAGACCTTAAAATTGAAATTACATGGATTTTTATATTCGCCACTCAAAAATAAAATCTCCCCCCGTGTCGTTGGGTAGGAAACAAAAAAGATGATTCCCTCCCCACTTCAGGAGCGAAGGAATAACTAACAATAAAGCAAAAATACCAAAGAACGATGAATGCACTCTGGAAACATTTTATCAAAAACATTTGTTCCATTTCCGTTGTTTGAATGACATTGGAAGGCTCTAGCAGGATTGCACTCTTTACATTTAAAACGGCATGTTTCGAGAAGGCCATCACATGCATGTGACCAATCGTGGAAAAGACCGTCATTGCAAAGAACGGAATTGTGGCTGCTTGAGTTGCTTCCCTTTATAATTAAAATATTAATTCCTCCCGAACTAAACAACCTCCTGATTCTTCATTAATGACAATTTTGTAAGAGGACAAACGCCTGGACAACCATTTTCATCTTCACCATCAGGACAGTCAAAACGGCCATTACAAACACTATCTTTGGAAATACACATCTTACTTGTTCCATTGCAGAGAGCAGAGAATTTGCCTGAACAAGAGGCACAATCACAATCCTGCAAAAGATTTTTCTAATTCTTACATATACACTCATCCACAAAATTATAGCCCCACCTATATTTTTCTCGGTTTCTATACTGTATCCGTTGACAAAGTATAGAACGGACACAGTATAGAAACCGAGAAAAATATTGGTGGGGCTATAATTTTGTGAAGGAGTGTATATTTGAGGCAAGCATTACTTACAATTAAACTAAAATTAAATTCTACCTTTTCATCACTTGCGTCAATGTGACAGTCAACAAAACCATCACAAAGATAACGTTTTGCCAAGCAAATTCCCCCTTTTGCATTACCACACATCTTTGACCCTCCATTGCATTCTTTGCAATTTTGTTCATCATCACCAAATGGACAATGATTTTCTCCGTCACAAATTGCATTATTTGGAATGCACATATCAACGTCCTTGCACCGATACTCATCAACTGAACATTCTTTACCTTAATTTTAATGTGTACTTTTATTCTTCAATCAGGCACGTAGTCAGAAAATTTTTCAGGGAGAAAGGGAATCATTTTTGAAAATGTTGAATGTTATAATATTGGTCCAAATCTAAAATGGCAAGCTTCGAAAAAAACTGTGACCTAGAATGACAGACAGCACAAAAATCGGAAAACTAGAATAAATTATTAGTAATTTCTTCGCAGAGTTTTTGATGTTGGTTTTGATTGCTGTTCTAACTGTTGTTTTTGAACAAATTCCCTAGAATTCCCCTCTTCCTGGCTATGAGCCTGTCCCCGAAAACATTTTTAATAATTAAAAAAAATACGATTGCAATAAAGAGTTTCATCCTCTGAACCAGGACAGTGTTTGTATTCATCACAGAGATGATTACCCACTAAACAAATCCTTCGCTTTGAATTTTTGTTGATGGTTGATGCTGGGCAAGAAAGCGTTGCTTGACATTCTAAAATTTAGAATGTTTGTAGCAAAAACAAACAAAGAACCTTGACAGTCAATTTCATCGCTTCCATCCTCACAATCTGGATGTCCGTCACAACGACGATTCTTCGACACAACAATGTACTAAAATATCGAATTTAACAAAAAAGTCAAAACATTAAGAATTTACCGGCTGAGCAGTACAAGCAAATCCATAAACAGTACAACTGGTAATATTCTTTGGAAGAAATTCAGTTGTCCGAAGGGGTGTATGGTCTTCCCAGTCTTGATATTTAAAAACTTCAGTCAATTCTGGCCAAGAAGAATGTTCACGGTCAACGAAGAAATTAAACTATTTAGATTTAAAATATGGCAATTTTCAAATTCCAAAATACTTTGTCTCCCTTTCCAATATTGGATGTGGATCCTCCATTTTCAGTAGCTTTTTTGTCAATATTGCTTGCTTGTGGACTTGAATAAGTGAGCGCAAATGCCAGAGGAATTGTCGCAATGAGCAGCATTATCAGCACAGCAGCAATCAAAACCAACGCCAACGACGGAACAAAAGAGAGACAAGTACAACATCTTGTAGAAAGCCAAAGTCGAAAATTGTCAGCTCTGTAGTGAAAATTCTCCCAAAGATTCCCCCTTTTAGAAACTCCCTTTCTAATTTCGTCCACTGAAAATAAAATTTTAATTAAAATTATGAAAATAAAATTACATTCAGCATCTGGTGCAGTCTCATCAATTGCAAAGTCCAGCACAACTCCAGCCATTGTTTTTATAAAATTATTTTAAATTTTAGCTTAAGGCTTAAAGGATAAAATGATTAGATATGTACATATAAACGAACGCTGGTTAAGACAGAAAATAAAAAGGAATAAAAATAACCAGTAGAGTAAATATTAAAATAATTTATTTAAAATCGTGTCTGGTGATTTCGGCAGAAGTGACGTAGGCAGTGGTTAAATGGGCAGTGAGTGAGTTAGGCAGTGAGGTGAATTGGGCAGTGAGTGATTTGGGCAGTAAATTTTCTTCCTCAGGAATATGTTTATAACTAGGGCTCGGATTTGTATTGAAATATATTTTTTCCTGAATATATTATGCCTCCGAGCTTGTGCTGATCATTTACACTTTAAGATATACTTTTAAATTTGTGAGCATTATAGTTTTTTAATAACAATAATTTACTGCCTAAATCACTCATAATCTGATGATACTCAAATTGTTTTTATGTGGAAAATATTTTTTTTAAAAAACGTTTACTGCCTAAATTACTCACTGCCCAATTCACCTTACTGCCTAACTCACTCACTGCCCATTTAACCACTGCCTACGTCACTTCTGCCGAAATCACACAGCACCTTTAAAATTATCAAAAAAATATAAAGAATTTATTTTAAAAATTATTTTTTCTATTAAGATTTACAAAATATGTACCTGAATCATTAGGATATAGATAGGATATAGATAAATATATAAACTTAAAAATATATAAATGTCAATAAATATATATAAATGTCGATAATTTTTTGTCTTCAGAAGTATTCATGGCCACGAATTGCACAAAACATTTTATCCATCCGAGTTGCATTTGCACAAACACTGTAAGGAGTACAGACTTTATTTAATGGATAACAGCGCTGAGCAGTCTCACACATGTACATTTGTTTAGAGTGTCGAGAACATTCTTTAAAAAGATTTCAAAATTTTAAATCATTATAGAAGAATAACCTTTACAAGTGCAGTTCATTTCATCTGATTCGTCCAAGCAATCAGGCTCCCCATTGCAACGCGCGTTAGGGGGGATACAACGACCTTCGGTTTGACAGAGAAAAGCTCCATTGGTACAGGCAGTGCAATTGCGTTCATCTTCTCCTCCCAAACAATCAGAATAACCTGAAAATGGTAAAATAATTTCCAGATTTCCATTCAAATTTAAATTACCATCACACTTGTGAAAGTTAGAATAACAGCGACGAAAAGCAGTCTTACTGTGACATTCATTCATGCGAGGGGTTTTGCAGCTGCAGTCCAACTCATCAGATCCGTCAAGGCAGTCAGGTTTTCCATCACAGACCTTAAAATTGAAATTACATGGATTTTTATATTCGCCACTCAAAAATAAAATCTCCCCCCGTGTCGTTGGGTAGGAAACAAAAAAGATGATTCCCTCCCCACTTCAGGAGCGAAGGAATAACTAACAATAAAGCAAAAATACCAAAGAACGATGAATGCACTCTGGAAACATTTTATCAAAAACATTTGTTCCATTTCCGTTGTTTGAATGACATTGGAAGGCTCTAGCAGGATTGCACTCTTTACATTTAAAACGGCATGTTTCGAGAAGGCCATCACATGCATGTGACCAATCGTGGAAAAGACCGTCATTGCAAAGAACGGAATTGTGGCTGCTTGAGTTGCTTCCCTTTATAATTAAAATATTAATTCCTCCCGAACTAAACAACCTCCTGATTCTTCATTAATGACAATTTTGTAAGAGGACAAACGCCTGGACAACCATTTTCATCTTCACCATCAGGACAGTCAAAACGGCCATTACAAACACTATCTTTGGAAATACACATCTTACTTGTTCCATTGCAGAGAGCAGAGAATTTGCCTGAACAAGAGGCACAATCACAATCCTGCAAAAGATTTTTCTAATTCTTACATATACACTCATTTACAAAATTATAGCCCCACCTATATTTTTCTCGGTTTCTATACTGTATCCGTTGACAAAGTATAGAACGGACACAGTATAGAAACCGAGAAAAATATTGGTGGGGCTATAATTTTGTGAAGGAGTGTATATTTGAGGCAAGCATTACTTACAATTAAACTAAAATTAAATTCTACCTTTTCATCACTTGCGTCAATGTGACAGTCAACAAAACCATCACAAAGATAACGTTTTGCCAAGCAAATTCCCCCTTTTGCATTACCACACATCTTTGACCCTCCATTGCATTCTTTGCAATTTTGTTCATCATCACCAAATGGACAATGATTTTCTCCGTCACAAATTGCATTATTTGGAATGCACATATCAACGTCCTTGCACCGATACTCATCAACTGAACATTCTTTACCTTAATTTTAATGTGTACTTTTATTCTTCAATCAGGCACGTAGTCAGAAAATTTTTCAGGGAGAAAGGGAATCATTTTTGAAAATGTTGAATGTTATAATATTGGTCCAAATCTAAAATGGCAAGCTTCGAAAAAAACTGTGACCTAGAATGACAGACAGCACAAAAATCGGAAAACTAGAATAAATTATTAGTAATTTCTTCGCAGAGTTTTTGATGTTGGTTTTGATTGCTGTTCTAACTGTTGTTTTTGAACAAATTCCCTAGAATTCCCCTCTTCCTGGCTATGAGCCTGTCCCCGAAAACATTTTTAATAATTAAAAAAAATACGATTGCAATAAAGAGTTTCATCCTCTGAACCAGGACAGTGTTTGTATTCATCACAGAGATGATTACCCACTAAACAAATCCTTCGCTTTGAATTTTTGTTGATGGTTGATGCTGGGCAAGAAAGCGTTGCTTGACATTCTAAAATTTAGAATGTTTGTAGCAAAAACAAACAAAGAACCTTGACAGTCAATTTCATCGCTTCCATCCTCACAATCTGGATGTCCGTCACAACGACGATTCTTCGACACAACAATGTACTAAAATATCGAATTTAACAAAAAAGTCAAAACATTAAGAATTTACCGGCTGAGCAGTACAAGCAAATCCATAAACAGTACAACTGGTAATATTCTTTGGAAGAAATTCAGTTGTCCGAAGGGGTGTATGGTCTTCCCAGTCTTGATATTTAAAAACTTCAGTCAATTCTGGCCAAGAAGAATGTTCACGGTCAACGAAGAAATTAAACTATTTAGATTTAAAATATGGCAATTTTCAAATTCCAAAATACTTTGTCTCCCTTTCCAATATTGGATGTGGATCCTCCATTTTCAGTAGCTTTTTTGTCAATATTGCTTGCTTGTGGACTTGAATAAGTGAGCGCAAATGCCAGAGGAATTGTCGCAATGAGCAGCATTATCAGCACAGCAGCAATCAAAACCAACGCCAACGACGGAACAAAAGAGAGACAAGTACAACATCTTGTAGAAAGCCAAAGTCGAAAATTGTCAGCTCTGTAGTGAAAATTCTCCCAAAGATTCCCCCTTTTAGAAACTCCCTTTCTAATTTCGTCCACTGAAAATAAAATTTTAATTAAAATTATGAAAATAAAATTACATTCAGCATCTGGTGCAGTCTCATCAATTGCAAAGTCCAGCACAACTCCAGCCATTGTTTTTATAAAATTATTTTAAATTTTAGCTTAAGGCTTAAAGGATAAAATGATTAGATATGTACATATAAACGAACGCTGGTTAAGACAGAAACAAGTATTCGACGAATTCGACCAGTCGAATTCGGGTCCGGGGTTCGAAATAAACAAATTCTCAGCTCAGATTCGGACTCAGCACGGTCGATTACCTAAATAAAATTGTTTCCAGAAAAAAATAATAATTTTTAAGGTGTTTTTAGGGTGTCTCCCGGATTGTCCATGATTACCCTAAACTATATCCAAAATTAATGATAATGGAATTTTTCTAAAGCATTAATTCACTAGATGCTACACAAATATTGACGCCTTTTATACATATTTTTGCTGTTCAAAAATTGAATTTAAACTTCGGGAAAGGGCAGGACAATTCAGAGCGCTCATTCAGAGCAAGGCAAAAACGGGACGATTCAGAGTACGCAGGATAAATTATTCTATTTAATTATTGTATTTTTTCAATTATGTAATTTCTACATATTTATAAATACATATATTAGTGCCGTATGATTTCGGCACTATAAGTGGGTGAAACTCTAGCTGTGAAATAGGCGGTAAATCTTTTAAAAAAATTTTCACGTAAAAACAATTTGAGTAACAAAAGAAGAATAATTTTATACGTGATTTGGGCAGGTATTTATAAATAAAATTATGTGTATGTGTGTTAAAAAATTAATAAAATGTTGAAGTTTTATTCAATTAATTCTCCATTAAATAAATTTGCACTATCAAAACATTTAATTCCCCCAATAAATGTTGCAATAATCTCCATTCTCCTTTCATCTATTAATACAAAATCAGCATCACTTCCCGCAATTAAAGTTCCTTTTTGTTGTTGAATACCAAGAAAATTTGCTAAAAAAATTTTTTTAGAAATAAAATTATTTTTTAAAAATTACCTGGAGTAAAGGTTGCTGCTTTTAAAGCTGAAGCAACCCCTCGATTTTCATGTCTCTTCTCTATACATGAAGAAAAAAGTTTTATACAATCTATCATGGAGGCAACACTGTTAAATGAAAAAGAGATTTAATTTAAATAAAAAAATATTTCTAAAGAACCTTCCTGCCAAAATATCCGTTCCATCAACTGTAGCTTTTCGTCCTTCAACTAAAAAAATAAAGGAATTTTCTCTATTAAAATTAAAAACCTTTAATTATTTTATTTCCAAGTAAATGTTTCCCTTCATTTAAACCTAAAGCAGAAATTCCATCAGTCACTAACATTGCCCCGTTTGGATTTAAACAAAAAGCTAATTGAATTGAAGTCTCTGAAATATGTACACCATCAGCTATAATGCCGTAATATATTTGTTTTGATTTTTGTTTTGTTGTTTTTGTTGATAAAAGTAAATCGATAATGCCGGGTTTACGATGATGAAACTAAATTTTAAATAAAAAAATTTAAATTAGCCCCTTCTAATGACAAAAAAATATTTTTATTTATTTAAGCAAAAACCACAAGCGAATTTGCGCGTTTAAAGTTTAAAAAAGAAAAAAAAACAAAATTTCTAATCTAATTTTAAGATTTTTCAAAATTACCCCAGCCATCGCACAAAACAAATGTGTAATTCCCGTAGCCCCAGCATTCAAAGCATTTTCTCCAATTTCCATATCAGCATTAGAATGTCCAATACAAACACGTATATTTTTATTATTTAATATTTTAATTGCTTTTTCTGAATTTTCTAATTCTGGCGCTAATGTTACAATTGACAAATTGGAAATTAATTTTGAAGGGGAATTTAAAGAATAAAATAAATCTATTTCTAAATTGTTATTTATTGGAATAATATATTCTGTTGGATGGCAGCCTGCACGTTTTGGATTGATAAAAGGACCCTCGAAATGGGCACCTTAAAAATAAAAAAAAATAAAATTTAAAAAAAGTGGAGGGAAAGGAAATTAAAAGAAATTTTTGGGACTAGAAAATAAACAAACAAGTTGAGAAAAAATATTTAAGATTTATTAAATAAGAGAGTTGTTTACTACTTCCAATTAGAGATCGAGCTGGACCTGGACTAAGGCTTTTCTTACCAAGTTTTTCCTGGGCCCAGAGTCCAGGCCTAAGCATTTTTTGACCTTCCTGGGTTTTCCGGGACTACAGGCCCAGGATCCAGTCCAGGTCAAGAAATCAAACTCCAGAATCCAGGAACAGGTCCAGGCTTTTCAAAAATCTCGATCTCTACTCCCAATTTCTTAAGTTATAAAATAAATAAAATAATTATTTACCAATTATTTGTGCAGATACTCTCTCATTATTTAAAGTTTTAATTTTTTCAATTAATTTAAGACAATTAAAATAAACTTTTTGTTGTGAAGTAATAATTGTTGGACAAAATGATGTTACCTTTTAAATTAATTCAATTCTCAATTAAAAATTAATTTTACCCCATATTTTAATAATTTATTTTTAACAATTTCCATTTTTTGAATATTTTGTTTTTCATTTTCTTCATAATTTTCTGCACAAATTTGTGTAAAATCAATTCCAAAAGCTCCATTTAATTGAATATCAATAAATCCAGGTGCTAAAATTAAACCTTCGCAATCAACAAAAATATTTGGTTTTTCTGTAGTTTCAATTACTTTTCCATTACAAATAAATAATTGGTGGGACTTGAAAATATTTAAAATAAATTAATTGTTTGACACAGAAAATTAATTAAATTTATTTTAACAAAAAATTTAATTCTCTCTAATATGTGACAGAATTTAACTTAATCCCACCCCCACATTTCAATTAAAAATAGAAAATATTCCTCTAAAAATTCAAACAAACTAATTCAATTTAAAAAACCCCAATAACATAAATTGTCCCCAAACAAAAACTTTCACTTTTTGATAACATTTTTAACTTTTACCCAATTTACTCGTGATAAACTTTAAATTTAAGTTTGGAATTAAATAATATTCCCTCATTCCCTAACTTACTTGTTTATCTAAAAATTCTCCATTTTTGAATATTTTAGCATTACAAAAACAAATAATTTCTCCATTCCTTGAATTTTTTAATAATTTATTTAATAATTTATTTGAATAAGTGTAAATATTGTTAAATCCATTGTTTAATGAAGTATTAATTAAAATATTGTTGTTGTTTAAAATTCCGTTTAAAGGCATTTTAATTAATTTATTTTCTCTTAAAAATTAATTTTTAAAAATATTTTTAAAGGAAAAATAAGGAAGGAAATTTAAAAGTAAAAAAATAATAATTAAATTTATTTTTACTTTTTTAATCAAATGTTTTTAAAACATGACGAAATATGTAGTAGTTTCCCTCTTATTAAATAGCTTTTTTATATTAAAGAAAAAAAAGAAAGAAAAAAAGAAAGGAAGAGGAATCTATATATTTATTGTTTGTTTGGACAAAACATTAAATATAAAATAACGATGTTTGATCCTCTTAATTGTTAAAGATAACGGAAGGAAACAAACTCTCGTTTAAAAAATGGTACAAAAAATAACAGTAATAAATAATAGAAATAAAATATAACATAAAATGGAATCTCTCTGTAATCAGAAATGACGAAAGTTAAGTATAGTAGTAAACGAAAATTGAACCTGTGGGAAATCGGAAATGGCTCAAAAGTCGGAAAAGAAAATCGGAGATAAGCTTAAATTTTTGGAAAGAAACTTAAAAGTAAAAATTTGGGAAGATATCAAGGGAAATTTGGGAGATATCGAATCTTATTAAACTTTAATTTATTTGCCAAAAGACAAAATGCCACAGAACAAAATGTCAACAAATAACTTTAATTGTAGTAAAAGCCTAGGGACAATTTCTAATCTCTTAATTCCCACAAAAAACTTCCAATCCAATTAACAATATTTATTTTTCAAATTAAATTAAATCGAACAATTAGTAAAATAAGCGCCAAACAAAGTAAAGCAATAAGAACCAGAGCGAGCCAGCCAGTCGAACCAGAGTAATGGAACCAGCAGAATAGAGCAGAGCTAATAAGAAACGCAAAAACAAAAACCCCTTGGGATTTGGAGGGGGAGATTATATAGGCCAGAAAAATATGCGGGTAGACAAAGTTAAAGGTAAACAACATTCCAAATGTGGGCAAAATTATAAGTTAATGAATGGCGGCTGGTACATAAAAAGGGAATTAAACAGATGCGCTTAGTTAATACAATAGAACTACCTAATTTTAAATACAAAAGAGAGACAGAAATATGTAGTAAGTTTAGATTACAAAAGACGGGGCAACTAACAAAAATAAACTTCAAATTATTTATGAAATAATCACTGGTCTCTGTCCGCGACATTAATTTCAAATTTGTAAACAAATTGTTTAGGTAAGTTATGGTGCATAATTAGATTTGGAGAAATATCGAGGGAGGCAAATTTTGATGGATTAAGAGACATTGTGAGATATAGGTGATTAATAGGGACATCGGAGAATTTGCGGAATATCTAGGATTTGGGGAATTGAAAGGGATATCGAGAGATTAAAAAATTTGGGAAGATATCGAGGGGTTTATGAGGATTAAGTGGGTTGGGAGACTGAGGGATTAAGAACGATTTAGATGACATCCCTTTATATACATCCATGCAATTCCCAGATATCCCCGATATACTTCAAAACCTGATATACCTCCAAATCCACTTAATACTCGCAAATCACTCGATTTCTATCTTTATCAACCAATTGATCATCCTCTTAACCCTTCTTGATCCCAATGTACCATTTAATCCCTATAAATCCACCGAATCCATTTAAGCCTTCTTAATTTTGTTAAATTAAACTTTATTTTGTGTTAAACAACAACAAACTTCAAAAACTTCAAAAAAACAAATTGTGTTGAAAATTATTTATTTAAAATACTCTTTTTAAAAAAAAATTATTAATAGACAAACAAATAAAAACAAAATAACAAAAACATATTCTAACAAAGAAAAACACAAAGATAAAGACAATACTTTTTTATATTTTTTAAAGTTTATTTTTTAATAACTTGAACTACATCTTCATCTTCCAAAAGATGATTCTTTCCAACACTTTGTGGTGTGTGTCTAACACTTCTGCCCCAAACAAGAGCACTGAAATTGAAAAAAATAAAACTTAAAATAAATTTCTCCTCCCAAACTGTTTAAAATCTTTAGCAAGCGATTTATGTATTTTCATACACAAATCTTCCATTATTCGTTTATCAGCGTTCAAAACTATTGGAGTTTCATAATCAGGTAATTGACCTTTTGGTTTTGTATAACTTTAAAAGAAATTATTTTTTTTCAAATTTTTTAAATTAAATACAATATACATTCTAATTAAATTTAAATAAATCCATATTTTCTCCATTAAATCATCAAAATTCCATTTATTATGTGCAGAAATAGGCACACAATGAGGGATATTATAAAGAATATCTAATTCTTCAATTGTTATTTGATCTATTTTGTTTAAAACATAAATACAGGGAATATAAACACTAAAAAATATTTTTTAATTAAAAATATTTTTAGCTAAAATGACCGATTTCCTTCAATAACGTCAATTAAATCTTCAGTTGTAGCATCATATTTAAGTGTAATATCTGCATTATGAATTCTATATTCGGCTAAAATTGCTTTAACAGTATCCAAATCCAATTCTGATTGAGGGACCTTTTTAGAAAGAGAAAAAAGAAGGAGGAAGTTTTTTAAGGAAATAAATTTAAATACCACACAATTTAAATTTAATCCTCCTTTGTCTTTTCTTTTAAAAGTAATGTTTGGGGGTGTCTTATTTAATCGAATCCCAAAACCTTCCAATTCATATTCCAATAATTCTTTGTGTCTCAAAGGTTTTGTAACGTCCAAAACCATTAAAATTAGAGAACAAGTTCGGGCAACTGAAAGTTAAAAAAAGAGTACAATAAAAAAGGGCCAATTTAGTATACATTTTTAATCAAATTAAAATTTATTTACCAGCAATAACCTGCCGTCCTCGACCCTTTCCATCCTTTGCTCCTTCAATAATTCCAGGCAAATCCAAAAGTTGAATTTTAGCACCTTTATATCTTATAAGTCCAGGGACAGTAGTTAAGGTTGTAAATTCATAATCAGCTACTTCAGAATGCACACCAGAAATATTTGAAAGTAAAGTTGATTTTCCAACAGAGGGAAAACCTAATTTTAAAAAAAATAAGGGGATTTTTTAAGTAATTTTTTTAATTTGAAAAAGTAGAAGATAAATATTTAAATATATTTTTAAAACTCCCATCCACCCCCCCCCCCAGAATTGTTAATATAAATAGAAAATAATATGATCATAGATTAAATTTAAAAAATCCTCAAAAGTTCACATTTGTGTTTACTAACTTAATTTTTTCAACCAAAAACAAGAAAAACTTTCAATATTCCCTCACTACAAACTCTACTTTATATACAAACTATCTAAAGTAAATTTATTCCAAATCCTTCAATACCCAACTAACAAGCCAAGTAATTGTAAGAAGCCAACACACACCAAACAACAACAAAAAGCTTAAACAAAAATGTTAAAAGAAGAAAGGAAATGGACGAGAAAAATATTTTTCCTACGACTATTGAATATCTACATAAATGTTGACGACAGCGAGAGGATGAACGTTGTTAGTTTATTAGATATTTGTTGGTGGTAAAAGTGAAAATGCCAATGTTCCCGGTGAACAATAAAATTACTGAATCCATGGGAACGAATTGATTATTGTTTATTTAATCCTAATAAATTATTTTTTGCCAAAACGTGTAGATTATTTCCTTATCAAAAAATCATTTAAAAACAAAATTCTAATCATCTCTAAGAAGAAAAATAAATCGACTTAATCTAAACTGATAAGACAAAACTTTTACTCTTTTGCTGGTCTTAAAGAAAAAACAAAAAATTCCCAATACTTTTAAATTCATTCCAAATTCTCATGTCTCAATAAAGTCCATTTTTCTTTAACAACTACAACTTTAAACCAAAACCGAAATTCTTAATGGAAAAATAAACATATCATAAAAAGCTATTGCCAATTTCTCTCCTTTAATTCTTTCAATTTTATTCATTCCTTTTTTAAATATCAAACGCATGAACACTTTTTACACGTAAATTCTTAAGTAATTCATCTACTATACTAATACGAAAAATACCAAACAAAAATACACGCTGAGAGTAAAAAAAGAAAAACTGACAATTACATTTAAATTAGTTGTGTTTTGGACATATAATTTCCAATTAATTTTCTATATAAGTAAAAATCCTAAAAATATTTCTGCAGAGATATGATACCTACTATTTACCCAATTAAATTCATAAAAATAAATAATTTTTAGTAAAAAATTAATTTTTAGTTTTTTACTAATTAGAGTATTTAATTGTAATTTCATTTAATAATTTTCAAAATCCTCTTTAACCCATTTATTTAACACTTAAGTATTTCAATAAATTAAAGAGAAACCTAACAAATAGTTGCAAGACAATTTACACTTTAAAAAACAAAAATACAATTGAAATAAAAAAATATTTGAAATATTACTACGTGAACTCCATTTTAAAATTCTCTAGGGGCTATTTTGTAAAAATATTTTTATTTTTTTGCCTGTCTGCGTGTAAACTATATATCGGCAAAGATGTGCCCAATACATATTCATATTTCTTATTTATTTTCACTCTTTTTTACTAACCCTTTATCTGCTTTTATCCCTTTCTCTTCTCGCAAAAAATATTATAAAGACGTTCGATAAAAACGTGAAAACGCTGCAAAAACTGCAAATATTTTTTTATTTTTTTTATAATTTTCTTAAATTTTTAAATAAATAGAAAAAAAATCAGATAAATCTGTTCCACAAATTAATTTTCAAAAATTAAGAATATTTCCGCAAAAAATTATTTATCCGCAAATTATTAACAGAGAACATTTCTTTAAAAGCTTAACACTCTAACTATGCCATTGCCTTATATTAGCTAAAAACATTGTAAGAAAAACAAAAAAAATAGTTAGCCAGTCTGAAGTGACTGACAGAAACATGAGACAAATATTCCCCCTTCTAAACTAAATTCGTAACTAGTCAAAACAAAAAAAGAATTGCTGCCAAGCAGCAGCCACCGCTGGCAGCTACGCCAAGAAATATATTTTTTACTTGCACTTTACTAGACTCTAAAATTTTATAAAAGAAATGAGAATCTGTTCCACAAATGCCACCCTCTTTCAATAAAAAAATACATCAATAATTTACAAAGGAAAGTGTAGAAAAGTAAAACAACAAATGACGACTAATATTTATTTATTTCAGAAAAATTTATTAACTGCTGAAAAATTAATTATCCAAATGGTTAAAAAATTTTTCTAAAAGTTAAAAAAAATTTTTTTAATAAATAAGGAAAAATAAGAGAAAGTAATTTAAGGAATTTTAAAGAAATGTCTAAATTAATGTAATAAAAAATAGAAGGCTAAATTATTGTAATTAAAGTTTTACAGAATTTTTTAAATTATAAAATTTACTTATTTCCTTAATTAAGATTGTTTGTTTAATCTTTGAATATTATTTAATAATCTAAACGAATCTAACTCTGCCATTTTTTAACTTCTTCCAAAAATACACATCCAAAAAAGGAAATCTCCACAAATATTTGTAACTAATTTTGAAAATGATAAAAAAATATTTGTTTAAAAAATGGCTTTTATTCTCTATGGATTACTTGCATTCCTTTTTCTAATGAAATTTGCAAAAATTTAAATGTCGAGGGGGATTTAAGTAGTTAAATTTATTTTTATTTTTTATGTTCTTTTTTTGTTTAGTTAGAAATTAATTTCAAAAAATATATACTAAACTTATCTTCTTCTTAATAATAAATTTTACTTTTCAGATTTTTTAATAATGGCAATAAAAACAATAGAAACAAAATTTAATAAACAACAAAAATCAACAAAAAACTTCAAAATAATTAATAAAATAAAACCTCAATTCTACTTTTTAATTATTATCTTATTTTCTATTTCAATTTTGGAAGCTTTTCCAACAAAAGAAAAGGGGGAAAGAAGGAAAGAATTAAGGGAAAAAGAAGAAAAAAAGCAAAAAGATTTAATTTGTAATGTTGGAGATGAACATGAATGTGTTTGTAATGTTTCTATGGGAAATTTGGATTCTTCTAATATTCCGAATTGTAATGAATTTATTGGAGTAAGTATTGGAGTTAATAGAGAGGTTAAAAAAATTATAGGGCAAAAGTCTTGATGCAGTCAAAATTATTGTTCGTGATTTTAATTTAACTGCCTTATTACGTACTAATGAAACACATGAGCAATACTTAAGACGAAGAATTTCACAAGTATTGAACCGTTATTGTGAAACGGTACCTGATGAATGTCCTGGTACTTTGGCGGAATTAAGAAGTCAAAGAGTGAAATTAGAAACAAGTTCAAGAGAATTGGACAATTTAAATGGTAAATGAACAAAATGAATAAACTATTTAACATTTATTTTAGATCGAACACCGTTAATAATCGACGATGGCGGTCCTTCTTTAACACGTGAAAATATTGTTATTCTTCGAGTTATTTACCTTCCAGGAAGAGTCAGAACACAAATTTCATTTGTTGTTTTAAAAATTGCAAATACTTTTGGTGGTATTAATTCATCATTAACATTACCACCAAAAACAATTAAATATATACTTTCGGCACAAACTGCACCACTTCCACGTGTATTAGGTGGAGTGAAAATAGAACAAATTGCTATTGAAACATTAAAAAAGAAGAGACCACCAGTAAATAATATGAAGTAAAAATTAAAGAAAAAAATATTTTAAAAAATAAAAAAAATTCTTTAATTTAACAAAAAAATATATATTTTATAGATTGATCATAATTATTGCTGTCATAGCTATTTTAATGACAATTTGTTGTACTATAGCAGTCGCCAAAGTAATTTAGTGAGTTTTAATAATAAAAATAAATATATAGAAAAATATTTAAAAAAAAATTTAAGCGATATATCAAAAACTCGTTGCCGTCAAAAAACATCCAAAAGCAACGGAACTACAACTCCCTCAACAGAAAATCAAAAGAAAAAAAGTAGCAGTTCAAGAAATTATGGAACATGTACTGATAGATTATTTGCTTCAACATCTTCAAATAATAATAGAGAAGATGATGGACAATTAACAAGTGGACAACGTTCAGCAGAATCAAAATCTTTAAGAAGTAGTAGAAGAGAATCAAATTCTTTAAAAAGATTATGGAGGAAAAGAGGAAGTAGTAGTGGAGAAAAAATTAAAAAAATATCAAAAACTTCTGGGATTGAGATAGAAAATAATAAAATTAAAGATGATGAAGAAAATAAAATGGAATTAGATGAAGAAGCTATTTCTGCCTCTTCTCGTTCAGTTACTGCATATCAAAATAGTTTTATGTGTGATCACTCACAAGTATTTTTAAAGAGAATTTTTTTAGAATTAAAAATGTATTTAATAGCTTCCAAGAGAAGACAGCCGTTTTGATGATGAAGACTTTAATGATGGTTGTGGTGGAGGAGATTTTGAAATTATAGATATGAGTAGACGTAGAAGACAATCCTCTTTACTATCAAATCCAAACAATAAACAAAGAATGGAACAAAAAAGGCATAGTCTTCTTCTTTCCCCAAATAATATTCGTTCACCTCTTTCATCTGATGATGACCAACAACAAAGAATGACTTTCCGGTTTTCACCAAAAACAAAAACTCCAACAACAACGCCTACAAGAAAAACATCAAATAAACGCTTCTCATTTTCTGGAAATACTGGAGTAACAATAAATACAAACATTCCAAGTGTTGTTTTGTTGGATGAAGGAACAACAAATACTGTTGAACATTCATCAAATGTGCCTAAACATACAACTATGGATATTTTTAGGGTAATAAATAAAGGAATAATTAAACAATTTAAATTAATTAGAATAAACCAAATGGAGGTGAATTCCTCTTAACTGCTTCCTCTGATTTACATGAAAGGCCTCAATCCAGATTAGGTCAACAACAACAACATCCCTTTGATAGACCACTTTCTAGAAGGGGAAGTAGAGACGATAAACATGAGGAAGGGGAAGAAGAAACTTTTAATGATACAAGGGAAGATACTCCAGTACCTTTAGGTGATGATCAACAAACAATAATTGTAAATCCATTAGCAGCAGTAACCCCCAAAAATCAATTGTTGGATGCTCTCAAAAATAAGGTTCGAAGATATTTTAAAAGATAAATAGAAAAACAAATACAGTGAGAAATTAACAGTTATCAGATACGAGTCAGGGAAAAGAAGTTTTTGATTAAAAAAAGTCCAGAAAAATTCTTAGAGAAAATATCATTGTCAGTAAAATTTAATTTTTAAGAATAAAAAGAAGCTTCTCGGAAAATTACTTTTATTGGCAAGTGAAACAGATTCAGAATTAGATTTAGGAAATGAAGAAGAAGAAGAAGAAGAGGAAAATGAAAAAATAAAAAAATCATCAAATAATTATTTAAATAAAAAAGAAAATATAAAAAGAGAAAGTAATGCAACAAGTAGTCCAGAAAGTGATGAAGAAGAGGAGGGGGAAGGAGAAGAAGAAGAAAATACAATTTTGGAAAGGCATCATTATGAAAGGCTTTTAGAATCTCCAATGATACAAAAAACAACAAAAAGTTTTGAAGAAAAATAAAAATAAATAATTCTGTGATTTTTTTAAAAATATTTTTGATTTTTAAATTTTATTTTTTTTAAATTAAATAAATTATGGAAAAAATAAAAAAAATTAAATTTGATAGAAAATTAAAATAAATTTAAAAAAGCATTTATTTGGAGGGAAAATGTAAAGCATTAGCTAGTTATTCGATTGTGAGTGGAATCCTGTCCTTCCCGTTAAAAGCAGAGAAGGAAATTTTAGAAAAAGGTAATTTTAAATTTATTAAATTAAAATTAAAAAAAATTTCGACTGAATATGAAATGAATGCCTTTTTTATTCAAATAAATAGGAATGGTAAATCTTTTTATTTTATAATTTGTTTGTTGATTTTGGTGTTAGGAAAATGGAACAAAAGGATACCTTTGTACACAAAAAAATAAAAAAATTTTCTTTAATTTTTTCAAAAACAATTTATGTCTAAATTTGTTTAGAAATATTGATGAAAAATATGTCCGATTTTCGGATCGAGAAAAAGATTTAAAATAAAAATAATGGAAAAGATGTAATAATTATTTATTTTCGATTATTTTATTTTTGTGTATAAATTGTTTTGTTTTTTACTTACAACAAAATTAACAAAAAGAAAAAAAACTTTTTAGGATAAAACGAAAAAGCATTCATTCCGTATACTGCCAAAATTTCTAAATTTTAAAAAAATTAACCAACCAACAAAACCAATTCGCGAATCGCCTGTCTTGGCAACATCAAATCCTTCACCAGCACCACCTCCGCCACCACCTTAAAATTTTCTAATTAAAAAATATGAGAATTTAACTAATTAATTTTTAAGTGTTTTTAACTCATAAGTTTTTTCTACATAATAGATATATTTTTTGCTATGTATTTCATATAATTTAAATATATCTTATGTTTAATTTATATTAAGAATTTTTAAAAATTATTCTAATAAAAAACCTTTCGGACTAATTAATTCCCTCCGTAATTTAGCAAGCCGAGCTTTTAACAAGCCAAGATGGCCCTTAGAATTTTTAAATTAATTTTATAAAATTATAACAAAAACCATTGTAGCCTTGTTTCTTTGAGTTCTAGCCATCTAAAAAATATTTTTTTTTATTTTAATAAAAAAATTAATTAAAAACCTCATCCTCAATATCCTTTATTTTATCCAAAATTGACATTTTTTTTATAAAATTATTCTGAAAAATATATCTAAAAAATAATAATGTAAAAACTGAAAAATGAAATAAAACAAAATAAGTAAAAACGTTGGAGACAACCGAGTCTGAACCAATTAAATGTAAATGAACGGAGGGGGGGGGGGGGGGATTTCTGTAAAATACAGAAATACCTAAATTGTATACCTATTTTTTGTTTTTTGTAATTTTACAATCCATTAAATCAATATAATATGTATACGTGACTGCTGTGCCAACAAAAAATTTAATATATTGACTGAGTGGAGGGTGATTCGAGGCAATGAGTGAGTGAGAGAGACTAAATAATATTTTTAAAATCCTTTCTTATCTAATTATTTTACAAAATCTAAAAATGAAAAAGTATTTAGCGAATTTCTTAACAATTTTGACATATTTTTCAATTTATTTATTAAATCCACCCATAACGGCGGGATTAGAAAACACAAAAGAAAAAATTGTAGTTCAAGATAAAAATACAAAAGAAACGATTATCCGCAAAAAACGTCAATTCTCCCGATACATTTGTGGTATTCCCCCATATATTTTTCATTCAGATTGGCGTAAGTTATAAATTATTTTTTTGAGAAGTGTTTGGTTGTTATAAAAATTTATAATAATTTTAGCATGTCCAATGTGGGGTCTTTGCGCAAATCATGGGTTTACAACTAATTTGCCATGCACAGATAATAAGGCTTGCATTGAGAAGAATCCAAGCACAGAATGCGTGCAAGGAACGTTAGTCTTTAAACTAAAGATCCATAATCATAAGGCAATATTTAAGATGTTGTACAATTCCCGTGGTTGCTGGAGGACCAACCGGCAACGTTCAATTTCTTTCTCCATCTGTTACTCCCGCTATTTGGCCCTGGCCAATAACAACAACTGTAAAATCAGAGGGGCAATCAGAAAAGAGAACTCATCGACTTTATCAAATTTTACTGATGGGGTTCTTGTCATTTATTCACGTTTATTTTTTAACTTTTCTAGATTTCTTAGTTTTATTGTAGATTTCTTTAAATTTTGTACAAATATGTAAATATATTTTAAGAGGTTTTTACCAATTAATGAGAAATTACAATAAAATTTTGTCAAGTCATTATATTTATAACACAATCAAAAATTTCAGAAAAATATTATCAAAATTAAAATGGAAATAATTCAAATAAAGGAGATTAAAAGACTGATTTTGCTTAAATTTGAAAGCTCTCAATACATGCTAACAGTCGCTGTGGAAGCTGGGAACGATTCCATTCATTTCTAAATTCACCAATAATCTGATCCAATTCAGCACCTAAATTTAGGTTTTTGTTAAGTTAAGAAAACATTTAAATAATTTACCAAGACTTTCAATTGCAGGTACATGCCATGCCTCTGTACTTGATTTAACTACTGCCTTAAAATAATTAATAGACAAAATTGGACTAATCTCTATACCTTTTCTACAACAGTTTTTAAACTATGCAGATCTAATATAAAATCTTGCTCTATTTCAACAGCATTATCTCTACCATTTTCTAAGTCACCATTAATATTTAATGAGGATTTAATGAATCCATTAATAAATCCATTAGTTGAATGATTGGAATTAGAGGAAGACGGAGATGAACATTCCTTCTCTTCTACTTCTAAAGCCTCTGCTGAATTTATAGTTTTAGAGGACGAAGCCTCACTATTATCAACGGATGATTTTTTCGAAGAACGTTCTCTTTTAGACCTCTTCGCAGGAATCTCAACGGAAGCATGGCCATTCTGTAATGATTCCTCCAAATTATTATCGCTGTTTTTTGGGGGTGTTGAAGTGACCGATGGAAGAAGAGGTTGGGCAATATCTTCATTGGTGTTGCTGACTTTCTCTTGTTGATCTTTATTTTGTTGGTCTAAACTGTGCGCAGCTTCTTCGATAAGATTACGAGCATCCTAAAAATAATTTGCTTTAAAATCAAAAATTTTTCAGATTCCATACCTCTAATTTCTCCTTGAAATCGTCGTTCAGCTCCATCTCAAATAATGCCTCTGCCATTTCTACTAACCATCGACCAGTATGCTTGATTTGTAAATCCTCCATCTCATGGTCGGGATTATATTCGATTGCATTATCACGAATAAGACGTAAGTCATGCATAAACGGTTCAGGTGAATCGTATTTAAGCATATCAATATTAAGCATCTGCAAAAAAATAAAAAATGAATTCTTGACATAAATGAAATATTCAAAGAAAAATAATAAACCATTTGACTTAAACTCATAGGCTCCTTGATAATATCATAATAATCTGGAACGTCAGATTTGTCAACAGGAAGATGGAAGCACTTAAAACGTTGATCACGAATTAACTGACCTGAAAAAATCAATTAACTAGAAAAAGATGGAGGAAAAAACTTACGCAACAAATCCCGGAGAAATATACGAAATTCTCGCAACATTTGAGAATAGATTTTATTTAATTCTTTAAACTCAGCTTTAGTAACACGTCTTATAGGTGGCTGTTGAGAAGGATCTACATGTTGGGCCTTCGGCGGCTCTGGACAATCTCTGGCTAAAATTAAATTTGAAAAAAATAAAAAAAACGTGTTTCTATACATTTAAAACGGAAGGGATGTTCAGTAGCTTGTTTAACAATTGCATCGAAGAAATTTTGAATTGCACTGTAATTGGGCAATAAAATAGGAAAAGCATGACGAGATCTAAAAAGTTGTTTTATATCATCAGAGAGGTACTCATATTCTTTTTGAACTGCTGCAAGTAAAAGAGCCGAATTAAATCCCGTAAAAGCGGATAATGAAGAGATTAACTGAAACATTTGAAAATGATTTTAAACAACTGCTAATTTTAATGGGTTTGACCATTTTCCAACTTGGTCTAGGCAATATCTCCTCTAAAACATCCAAATCAGGCATAGCCAAAACAACAGGCGTTCCTTGACCAGTTGAAAGACGCGCTCTCCTACAAGTCTGTTGAATTTGTTCCTCGGGAGTTCCAGCAATGCCTCCAGAAAATAACTGCTCACAATTAAGTAAAAATATTGGTAAATGATCAAGTCGAGAAAGAAGAGCTGAGAAAAAAAGAGTGCCTTGTCCACTGTTATTAGAGCCGTGAAGCAGTAACCTAGCTAAATTCCGTTATATTAGACATTCCCTTTGTATTAGATATTATACCGGCAGGTACTGAAGATCGTGCTTTTATTGCTAATAGAATTTGTTCCAACTGCTGGTCTCTCGATAAATTATTATTTCCATTCTTGTAAGTAGTAAGTTCATCATCATTTCTCCGTTGATAACCAACTGGGATTTTAGAGGTCATTAGCTCATTAATTGTGGGCATAATCAAAGTAAGCAAACTCGCTTTATTAGAACGAGTCATACTTATTAATGTACCATCTTTAAAAATAAGTTCAACATAAAATTAAAAAAATAAAGAAAAAAACCTCTTCTCGAAGCTGGTAAAATAACTCTTAATGCATCAACAAAATGTTGACGAGATACTCGTATTTGTGTAGGATCAAGGTGTAATTTCTCTTCACTCAAATAAATATGGGGATAACGTTCCCTCATAGCTATTAATACAGATTCTGTGCAAAGGGCCTAAAATATAACTTAAATAAAAATTTGGATGCTCTAACCTTTAAATCAGCTCCACAATAACCACTACATTCCTCAGCCAGCCAATCAAGCAATTCAGTAGAAAGTTGACACTCTTCTGGCCATTTTCGTGTGTGGATTTGTAGAATTTGATTGCGAGCTATACAGTCAGGCAGATCGAAACGTAATTCACGATCAAAGCGACCAGGGCGGCGTAAAGCTGGATCAATTGAATCAAGACGATTAGTTGCACCAATAACAATGACCTAATGAAATAAATTTTCTACAATTAAATTACGATTTAGTGTGATTAAATATCAGGTGTCAAAACAAAATCCCACCCTTGGATACGCCCATACCTGTTAATACAAAGTATAATCCTATACAGGCCCGTAGCCAGGGGGGGGGGGTGAGGGGGGGAATTCCCCCCCCCCCCCCCCCCCGAAATGGGAAAAAGGAAAAAATTTGGGGAAGGGCTGGGGCAAAAAAAGTGAATTTTTTTGGCCTACGGCCTCTGAAATTCAAAAAATTTTCGCCTGCGGCGCTGAAAATCAAATTTTTGGCGCCTGCGGCGCCGAAAAAGTGAATTTTTTGGCCTACGGCCTTCTAAAATTCTCAAAATTTTCGCCTTCAAAATTGGCGCCTTCGGCGCCAAAAATTTGGCGCAGAAAAAATTTTCCCCCCTTGGCCCCCCCCCCGCCGAAAAAAAATCCTGGCTACGGGCCTGATCCTATATATTACGAAAATAATAACAAAAAATTAATTCAAAAAACCTCTCCGCGTGAATCAATTCCATCCATAAGAGCCAAAAGTGTAGAGACAATTGATGAGTGAATTTGATCCTGACGTGAAGAACGAACCGGTGCAAGTCCATCAATCTCATCAAAAAATATTATTGAAGGTCTCATTCTGTAAGCTTGATCAAAAAGAAGTCGTAATTGTCGTTCTGACTCGCCAACCTTTGTGGAAAAATAATTGAAAAGTATTAAGAAAATTTATTACCCATTTGCTCAAACAATCAGCTCCCTTACGCATAAAAAATGCAACACGTTTTCTCATGGAAGAGGAAGTAATATTTGTATCTTCAGTTGAATTACTTGTTCCCTCACAAGATCTGCTACATTCGTTAGCCAGAGCACGAGCCACCAAAGTTTTTCCGGTACCTAAAAAGTAAAATATTTTTATATAATAAATTAAAAAAAACCAGGTGGTCCATAAAAGAGAACACCTTTTGGTGCTTGAATGCTGAAGTGTTCAAAAACATGCGGATAAAGCATTGGGAAAAGGCACATTTCTTTGAGTTGTTGAATATGTCGACTTAAATATTTGAATTTTAAATTTCATAAAAATCTAAAAAAGACCTGAGTCCACCAATTTGCTCAAAGCCTACATCATGGTCAATACTCATAGGATCAATATCAGCACAACTTGAACGATTAGCTTTACGCCGAACATTTTCCTGTGCCATAGAAAGAATTGAACAAGTTTTTGCTTCCTTTTCTTCAATTAAAAAATTATTATAAAATTTTATTAGGTTCATAAAAAGGAGTTTGCTTTAGTTACAGAGACATAAATTGTGTTTATCGTCAAATATAACTATACCGTTTACATTAATAGGCATCAGCTCACGTCGTCCTTTCAACAAAGATTGAAGTTTACGTTTTTCAAAATTAGCTTCATCGCGTAAATCTTTCGGTAAAGCTCGATGACGAGTAGTACGTTTATTAATAGGTGCTTCAGTTGGTGCTTCATTAGAGGACGTAGATGTAGATGAAACAGTACTGCTTGAACAATGGTCAAGTTTACGATGTCGATGAGGAACGACAGAACGAGCTATAAATTATAACACATGAGAAAACAAAAAAAAACGAACATTGGTTTCTTCGAATATCCAGAACAGAATTAAGCGGAAGTCGTTGTAAATGGTTAATTTTGTAAGAACTTAACAACGAATTGTTCCGACGAGAAGTCCCAAAAACTTGACGACGCCTTCGTCGCGATCGCCGTAAAGGCCGGCTTTTTGATTTATTATTAGAACGGCGTGGATATCGACGAGGCTCCTCCTTGAAAATTAGGATTAAATTGTAAAAAATAAAGTAAAACTTCATCTTCGTCCTCCTCATAATCCATTTCGTCTTCCTTAATTTTATTGCTAGACCGGCGCGGGTACTGATGAGATTCCTTCTAGAAGTTGGGCTAAATTATTAAAAAAAATTAACAAAACCTCCTCTTCGTCGTCATCTTCCTCCTCATAAACCATTTCTTCATTTTTAATTTTATTACTGGCACGACGTGGATAACGGCGAGATACCTTCTAAAATTTAGACTTAAATGGTAAAAAATAAAACCTCCTCCTCCTCATCTTCGTCCTCTTCATAGACCATCTCCTCGTTTTTAATTTTATTACTAGAACGACGGGGATAACGGCGAGATTCCTTCTAAAATTAATTGAATTAAAATTCTACAGAATAAAACCCAATACCTCCAATACCTCTTCATCATCGTCCTCTTCATAAATCATTTCTTCATTTTTAATCTTATTACGTGAACGACGCGGATATCGATGAGACTCCTTTTAAAATTTAAATTAAAATATAAAAACAAGCCAAAACCTCTTCCTCATCTTCTTCATACTCCATTTCCTCATCTTCAGTAAACATATGTAATGGACGTCTCACACGTCGTGACCGACGCAAAGGGCGATTTTTTGATGAAAGTTTGCTGATAGCCCGTCGTGGATAGCGACGAGATTCTTTCTTAATTTAGTTAAAAATAAGACTAAATTTTATAAAAATAAGAACCTCCTCTTCATCTTCCTCAGAATCCATTTCTTCTCCGTCTTCAGAATCAATTAAAATTCGCTTTCTTTTCGGCATTTAATTCAGTAGTTTAATTTTTTATTAATTAGATGAAAGTTATATGGCAATCATATAAATAAAATATAAGTCTTGAAAAGTAGTCTAAATAAAGTATGACAATAAGATTAATTTCTGGTAATGGTGCAGAATTGGGGAGACACCTTAAAAACACCTTAAAAATTTTTATTTTTTCTCTGCAAACAATTTTATATAGGTAATCGACCATGCTGATCACGAATCCGAGCTTAGAATTTGTTTATTTCGAAACCCGGACCCGAATTCGACCAAGTCGAATTCGGGGTAAAAAATTCAAAATTACAATATTACAGTTATCCTGACTCGTCTCATTATTCTGAGTCGAATGGTAGCAAAATTATTAGGTTTCGACCATTTTAAACGAAGTTATGGTGTCTGATTTATATACGGAAGTCTAACCAAACGTTATTTAATTGATCATAACTTCGTCCAAAGTTGTCGAAACTGAATAATTTTGATACCATTCGACTCGGCTCAAATAGGCGTGTCAGATTAGCCCTTAATTTTTAATTTCGAATTCTTACCCCGAATTCGACTTGGTCGAATTCGGGTCCGGGTTCGAAATAAACAAATTCTAAGCTCGGATTCGTGATCAGCATGGTCGATTACCTATATAAAATTGTTTGCAGAAAAAACTAAAAATTTTTAAGGTGTTTTTAAGGTGTCTCCCCAATTCTGCACCATTACCTAATTTCTCATAAATGAACAGAAAATTAAAAAAAAGTCATCAAATAAAAACATTTTTAAAAAAATTTTTAAGCGGAAGGAAGGTAAACATAAAATAATTTTTCATTGTTATAGCAAGGAAAAAATAGCGCTCAAATAAACTGGAAGTGAACGTTTCAGTGTAGCCAATTCAGAGTAAATTCAAAGTACAAAAAAGTGGACGATTCAGAGTACATGAATTTTTGGATATTTTTATTGTAATTTTTTGTGTTTTCTTTTCTTTACAAAATTCAAGTCATTCAACTCAAAACTTTTCTTGAGGTTTTTCTATCTTAAGGATGTCTTGATCTCGACTTTTTTCTTCAAACACAAAATTCTAATTAAAGACCGAGTTAAATACATAAGTAAAATTTATCAAGAAAATAAGAGTCATTCTCTTCATTTCGCTTATCAAAATCGCCAATAAGGCCAAAAATTTTAAAAAACTGTTAATAAAATTTTTATTTGTTGTTTTTGACGGACACTCAACTTCCCCAGAATTGATGAGCGAGCAATGTATAAGCCTGAATCTTCGTCAAAAGATTTAGTAATGTGATTGAATCCATATAGAAATAGATGGAAAGTGATTTGATCCTGAAGTCTCTCCAATTCAAGATTGTTCAACTATCCCGACACCAACTTACTGTTTTCATTTTTGCTTTATTTGCTAGGCTGAGATTGCAAATTTAGACTTTTAGTTAATTTTATAAATTAATATTTTTATTTTCATTCGATTTTTACCTTCAAGATTTTAAAATTTATAAAAATATTTTTACATATTATGATTAATAGTCAGTGCCGGAACAATTTTATTTATTGATATTTATTTTTTTATTTTTTCTTTTCCCACTGATTACGCCAATAAAACAACGACCCATTTTTTTCAAGAAAAGCAGCATTTCGCGGTGAAGGTTAAAAACGAAAGTAAAACTCGGCTGGCTGATTGATGTTCTGATGAGAAAACGGAGAAAAATAAAAATATGAGAAAAGCTAAAATAATTAAAGGATTAAGAATTTATTTTTTTAATAAAATTGACTCTTCTCTTTTTAAGGAATTTTTGAATAATTAAAAATTATTTAATAAATTAAAGCATTATTTGTTTAGTATACATATCTTCACTCTCTCTCTCAATTACAAATATTCTCTAAACCTTTTAATTTTAATTAAGCTTTTATTTTTCAAACTTTAAAAACAAAGATGAAAATTGTTATTTAAATAGTTGAGATAAATTTAAATTTATTTTTCTAATTCAAATAAAAAAAACAAATAATATTCAAAACCCCCCTATAATTATTTTAATTAAATTAATTAATTAATATATATTTTAATACTTATTATAAATTTCAGTATTACCATGTTACTATTAATTAAATTTTCCTTTTCATTTCAATATTATTTCAACATTTTAATTGTTTTAATTTTTCTTCTGTTAGGGCAAAAAGGGAAGAAAGTTTTTTCAACAGAATTGGAAATAGAAAAACAAAATTTAATTCAAAATAATGATGAACAAAATTACAAAATTGAAAATGAAGAAGAAGAGGAAGGAGGAGATGTTTTAGATGCTAGTGCAGAACAATTAGATTCTTTGTTAATGTTGGATAGAAAATCAGAAAAAATTAAAAAATTGGAGAATAATGAAGAAATTGAATCTGAAGAGAATGAAGAAGAGGAAGAAGAAGGAGGAGAGGAAAATGATGTTAATGGGTCTGGTGAAGAAATAAATGAAGAAAATATAGGAATTACTGAAGCTTTAAATAAAGAAATATTAACAAATAATTTATTTGATAATAAAAATGATGAAAATGAGGATAATTTAGGAGTAAAGATAAATAATAATGAAACAAATAATATTTTAAATAAAACAATTAATAAAGAAATTGATGAAGGTTTAGATAAATTTTTAATAAAAGATTTGTTAAATAAATCAAAGGAAGAATTAAATATTAGTGATAATTTGTTAGAAAATAAGAAAGAAGTAATAAAAATGGGCAGAAATGAGGGAAATAATGAAACAAAAATAATAGGAAAATCAGATAATTTAATAGAAACAACAAGGGAGCCTTATGAAGAAGAAGAAAATTTTTTAAGAAATATTTCAAATAAAATTGAAGAAAAAAACTTTGACAATAATTTAATAAATGAAGAAATTAATAATTTAAATATAGCAAAAATTGTTGATAATAATAAAATAGAAACAACAACAGAAACAAAAATAGAGAAAATAGAAACAACAGAGGAAGCAACAAAAACAGCATTAGAAATACCAACAACAAAAACATCAGAATTAAATGAAAAACCAGAACAAACAACGGAAACAACAACAGAAAAAGAAGGGAAAACTTCTGAAACAACAGAATTATTAATACCAGAAACAAACATAAAAACAACAGAAGAAACATTAAAAACAACATTAGAGAAAACAACAACAACAGAATCAAAATTAAAAGCAGAAGAATTAAAAACAGAAAATAAAATATTAGAAACAACAATTCTGAATAATAATTCTGAAATAAATTTTTTTGAAAGTGAAACAAAAAATAATTTAAATTTAACGAAATTAAAAACAGAAAATAATATAAAAAATAAATCAGAAATAATTATTAATTTAACTAAAAATGATGAAAATAAATTTTTAAATGAAAAACAAATTTATAAATATACTGGACAAAACCGTTGGAAAGATGATTATGAAGAAATAATAAATTATAAAAATGAAGGAAAAAGGCAAAACAGAATGATAGAAATGATTAATAGACAAAAAAGTGAGTGTTTTAAATAAATGTGTAAAATCTTCCTTCCGTTATCCGAACTTTCGATGTTCCAACTCCCTCTGCTGACTGTTATCCTAAATTTTATAATAAATACAAATATTTTATACAATTCTAAAATTATTTAAAGATGAAGGAATTGTTGTTGAACGTTGTCAACCAAAAGTAGATGTTGTTTTTCTTCTCGATTCAAATAATAGTAATGATAATATTGATAAAATATATATAGAACATGTACGTTGGGCTATATCTTTAATGGAATCACTTCCTTTAGAACATGTAAGTATATCAAATAACATACCTATTTACGGGCCATCTTCATTAGAATGGCCTTTTGGGAGGAGATTGTAAGATAGAATGGATTGGCTATTCAATAAAAGAAAATATTTTAGATTATATATTTTTATATTAAAAAATAATTTTTCTTCAAAAAGGATGCTATACGTGTAGCAGCAGCAAAATATTTGGGATTTCCTTTAACAGAATTTTCTTTGGGTGAAGATATTCGACAAAAATTGCAATTTCAACAAACATTTAAAACTGGGTAGTTTAAAAAGTTCTAAATTTATTTTTTTATTTTAAAAAAAGATATGCACTACGTAAAGCAGAATCAGAATTATTTAGGCAGGATAGAGAAACACGTAAAGATGCAGCAAAGGTAGAAAAAATTTTTTAAAATTAGATAAATTAATTATAATAATTTAAAATATTTTCTTTAAGGTTATTATTATTTTTACTAACAATCCAAATATTTTTAATGAAATTATGCTTGAACATAAACTAAATGAAATAAAAGACTTTAGAATATTTATTGCTTCAATTATTGATATTAAAACAAATAATTCTAATTTTGATGAAAATAATATATTTAGGTGAGAGATTTTTTTGAATTTTATTTTAAATGATTGTTGAAACCCCTAACTAAATGAAAATTCTTACATTAGATGGGTCTGTTTTAGAACGGGTTAAACTTTTAATTTTTTTAAACCCTTAGGGGTTTATATAAAAATTAGTTAATCCAATTTATTAATTTAAAGCCAAAAAGAATTGCCACAACTTCGTGAATCAATTTTAACCGAAGCAGAACGTGCTAGAGCATGTTCAAGAATTGGGGATGAAGCATTTAATGGCCAAAGACGTAATGGCCCATCTACAAATCAAAATATTGGTAAAATAAGTAATGGGGGTGCTTTTGCTTTAGCAGAGAATAGAGATCGTTTAAATAATAATATTGGAGAATCAAATGATAATAATTTTGGGGCTGAAGCATTTTTGCAACAAAGGCGTATTGAGGCAGCTGAAATGCTTGGAATAGATGAAGAAGGAAATGAAGAAATAAATAAATTAAATAAAAATGAGGAAGGAATGGAGGAAGAACAAAAAAATTTTGGAAAAAGTTTTGAGGGTTATTTTTTTAATTTTTGAAAGAAAATATTTGGATATTTTGTAGTAAAAGGAAATGAAAATACACAAATAGAAGAGGAATCTAATAATAAAATGTCTCAAAATTCAAAACAAGATGAAGTAAAAATATTTTTAATTATTAAATTATTAAAATGAATATTTTTTAAAGCAAGATATAAGCATTGATGGAGAACAGGCTTTATTATTTAATAATGCTGCAGCTTTTAAAATACCGTCTTTAATAAATGCCGATGAACTAGATGTTTTTGATCCTTCAGAAAATTCAAGGCCAAATAGCCAAATTAGAAGACCATTTACTGGAGTAACAATAAATTCTATAACTACACCCTCTTTTCCAATTTCTCGATATCGGCCAATATTAGGTAGGAAGAATTAAATTTTGGAAACAATCAAATTTGAGAGATAGGCTTGAATAAATATTTATGTTATAAATAACAGGGTGCGGGTGCTAAATTAAAAAAATTTTTATATCATTGTTTAGTGGGTATCGGTACATATTTAAATATTATTTTTTGTTTACCTAAAGATAAATTTCTCAAAATATTTTAAGAAAAAATGTCTGGATTGGGAATGCTATTCCTGACTAGAAAATATTTTTTAATTTAAAATTAAAGGTTTATCATCATTTACTAAAAAACCACCATTATCACCTTCATCCTCTTCATTTTTAACAACACAAAAATATAATAATTATACAACAACAACCACACTAGCAACAACAACAAATAAATTACCAAAAACATTTCCAGTTAAAGTAGAATTACCTGTTGCAATTGCACAACGTTTAAGGCCTACACCTTCGATTGAATTTTTCTTTGAATTTAATAATGAGGGAGAACAACAACAAAATAAACAATTATTAAAATCAAATTCAATGTTGGAAATGATTAATAAAATTAAAAAAATTAATAGAGAAGAAGCTGAAAAAAGTAAAAAAGAGGAAGTTAATAATTTAAAGAATAATTTTAGGTAGTTTTTAAAATCTTCTCATAAATTTTTTAAAAATAATAAATAATAATTTTCGATTTATTCTTTTACCGAATATTAATGGCTCATGCTGTTATCAGTAACGGTAACCGTGATTTTTTGTGTCCGTGGACATTGCTACTAAATATTTCGCATAAATTCTTAACCAGATTCTATAAAATCAGAAATTTATTTTCTAATATTTTTACTTTTTTCATAAAAAGATTAAATAAATTTACAAAAACTACTAATCAACCTGTTATAACAACAACACCAAAAATATTATTTACAACAAAAATTTACAAAAATTTAATTCCAACCAAAAATTTAACAGAAACAACAAAAACAACACAAAAATATAAAATATTACCAACAACAACAACAAAAACAACAACAGAATTTTATACAATTCAACAACCTCCAACAACAAAAAATAATTATTTAATTTCTGTCCAACAAAAACCTAAAACATTTGGAATAACACAACAAAGAGGTAGATATTCTTTAATTATTATTTTTAGGGTTGAGGTTTTCGGACCGGGCCGTCATCTTTTTCAGGCCACATTTTTATCGAACCAGACCGACCAAGTCTTTTTCGGGACAAAATTCGATACACGACCTGATATGACCGAGTGATGAAATGATGATGAATGCCCGACCCAACTCGATCTCCCGACTCCCCCAACCCTAATTATTTTATTTAAATAATTACATATGATTTTTTCTAGTTGTTTGCCCTCCATTAGATATTTTATTTATTGTCGATTCAAGTGGTTCTGTTCACAAAATTTACGAAGCCCAAAAAGAATGGTTACAACATTTATTAGAAAATATTGAATTAAATGATGATTTAAATGAAGAAATAAATAATAAAATAAATTTAAATCAATTATGTGGACATCGAGTAGCTTTAATTCAATTTGCCAGTTCTGATTTACAGAAAATTGAATGGGAATGGGATCATTTTAGAAAAAATTGGCAAATGATGGAAAATTTTCATAAAAACGTTAATTTTAGATTTTTTAAAATTAATTTTTATTTAAATTAAACATTGGACTAAAAATTGTTTTCTCGATATTTTTAAATATTATTTTAGGGGAAATAAATAGCTTTTTGGAAGGAAAATTATTTATATTTTGTTTTACAATTTATCTAATTAAAATAAAATAAATTTTAAATATTTTTTAATAATTAAAGGTTAGACATATAACTGGAACAACATATATTGGTCAAGCACTTAAACAAGCACTTAAATTATTAGAAGAACGTAGACGACAGGTACTTTTTGAGAATTATAATATGTAAAATATTTTTTAGGTCCCAATAATTGTAGTCCTCTTAAGTGATGGTTAGTTTAATATTCTGAATATATTTTGTATTTTTTTAAAGGATTTTCTCAGGATGATGCAATTAAGCAGGCAGAGGCTATTAGAAATTTACCTAATTTACAATTTTATGCATTAAGTATTGGGCAACTTAGTAATATGTAATGAAATTAAAATATTCTTTTAAAAATAAATTTATTTTTAGTGAACTACTTCATCGACTTGTTGATAATCCCTCACATGTATTTATTGGAAATGAAGCCTCAGAATTATTAAGGTCGCAACTTTTGAGAAGAATTAGGTGTAACCAATAAAAATATTTTTATTTTTAAAATTTTAAATAATGTTTTAATTTAAATAAATTTATTTAAAATAAAATCGAAATTAAAAGGACGATCTACCTATTTTATGAATAGCCATGGGTACGGGTTCTACTTTTACAAAAACATATTTTTTTCTATTTTCATTCAAGTAAATAAATAATGGAAAGAGATTATATGTGTAAAACAAATTTATTAAAATTACAAATTAATTATAAAAAAATAAAAAGAAAGAGAGAGGTTAATTATCAAAATATATTAAAAATAATTAAAATGGCTTTATTAATTTCGTTTGTTTTTTAATTTTTCTTTTAATTTCCAAGAATTTTTGATTTAAACAGGTGCATAATATCCTCCATATAATCCATATGGAGATGCTGCATATTGCCCATAATAGGCAGGATAACCCCCATAACCATAAGTTCCATAACCATAATGAGGGGGAAGTGTAGCGGCAGTTAATGGAACAAGTGATTTGTCAGACTTTAAAAATTTGAGAAAAAATTTTTTTGAATATAATTTTGATACTCGGAATATTTAATATAACGGACATTATATTGTTTCGGATTAAACTAATAGACTTATTATTACTTTCAAAGTCTTTTAAATAAATTTTTATTAAAAATTTACGGGAGCTCCCCCTCCATAATATTGCTGTTGTAAATATTGAGCATGTTTTTGTTCATATAAACTTTCTTCTTCATCCCGAATTGCACGCCGACTAAGCCATAAAAGAAAGGCAGTAAATGCTGAACATCCAATACCTACCCAACAAACAATATATGACCAACCAAAAGTTATTCGGGTAGCTTGTTTTAATGACTTGAAAATTTACAAGTTTATTAAAAAATGTTTAGAGAAAATACTCGAGGCCAATCTAGATAGAATGGATACATATCCAAAACTTTTCTCTCCATATAATTTACATAGTGCCATAAAAGCATGCCAAAAATCATAAAAAGAACTGCAAAAATTATTTTAAAATTTATTTTTTAAATTATTTAAATTTAAATCTAGAGACCGGACTGGGAGCGTCGTACGAGAATCGAGATCACGAAAAATTCTCGATCTCGATCACCGAGATTTCAGTCGAGATCTCAGGTCCGATCTTTCTTTTTCCTTTCTTTTTTTCCTACCCGAAAGTAAAAACATCATTGCAGTCCACCCAACAAGTTTAGGACTTCTTCTATAACAGCCAACAATCCCAACACCCAAAGCTAATACACAAACACATAAACCAACAATAAATAAACAAATCATTCCTCTTTGCATCCACAAACGTTGCATCTAAAATATTAATTTTTTTAATTATTTAAAAACAAATTACTTGTGCTCCATTATATTTTTGTGTTTGTGCAGAATCAGGCCACAAATCAGGGCTAGTAATACATACAGAACCAAATTTAGAATAAGATCCAATAGCTAAATTTAAAGAAATTTTATTGAGAATTTAATAATATATTTTGATTTTAAATCCAGTTCCAATTTTTATAAAGAAAAAATGAAGGGCCGAAGCTGGCTCCAGGAGCCATGTAAAGTACGGTTATATTTAGATATTAAAAATTAAAAAACAAACAATTGGGCACTAAATCAGGAAAGCAAAGATGTGCCAATCCTTGATTACGTGAATAAAAAAGAGGATCTGAGACAAAATGCCGTTCATATTTTTTGTCTAATTCTGCCTTCCTTTCTATTAAAAATTTGCGATCAACCTTTAATTTTAAATATGTATGTATACTTTATTATAATCTTTTCTAAGAATATATTTTTACTTTAACTTTTAAATTTTTTGTTATTTTAATAATATTTATTTCAAGATTAAGTATAATTGTTTAAACAAATTTTCCTTAACCCAGTTAAAATCTAAAATAGGTATTTAATTAAAACAGGTCAAGGTTTTAATTTTAACAAAAGATAAATAATTTATTTTTTTATGATTAATTTATGAATTAAAAACTAGTACTTGGTATTCCAACCATTGATCAGAAAATGTAGATAATACAACAAGTGAAAATCCAATCAAAGCAAATATTGTTGATAATGAAAGCAAAATTGGGGAAGAAGGCATAGAAAATAAATTAATAAATTTAGAGAAAATCAAATATAATTTTTTTGTTTTTGAAAATTAATTGAAAAAGAGATCTTTAAAAAATATTTAAAATTAATAAATAAAAAATTAAAAATGTAAAATTAAGTATAATTAATAATTTTTTTATTATTTTCCTTTAATTCGAAATAAAAAGAAAACATTTAAATAAATTTTATTTGTTAATATTTTTATTTTATTTACATATTTTAAATTAAAAAATATATATAATATTTATAAACTTCCTTTGTTTTGTTTAATTTTTAACTTGTTTTTTAAAATAGAAAAAGTAAAAGTTTTAAAACTGGTTTAAATTTTTTATTTTTAAAGAAAAAAGTGTTCACTTTTTTAGGTAACGAAAAGAGAGATATATTAAATTAAATAAAAACTAAATGAAGCGTTCAATTATTTTAAAGAAAAAAATATTTTCTTGGTGGTCTTAGAAAGATAGCCAATAAATTTAATAAACAAAAAACAAATAAAGTTAAAGCAAATAAAATTAATAAACAATTTTTGCTCAAAAAAGCTAACAAAAGTTTACTTTCAAAAACTTTAATACTTTTAATTTAAATATTTTCTATTAAACTTTAAATAAATATGAAAATCTTTTATCAAATATTTGTGGGGCAAACTAATTTATTTTTTAAGATTTAATTCTGTAATAAAAAACCTTTGAATGTACTTACCTAATTTAAAAAGAATTGGGTACTAATTAATTAATTAAAGTAATTTATTTATTTCTTTAAACAAAAAATTTATTTTAAAAAAATATTCAAGGCTTTTTAGTAATTCTCATTAATTTCTACTTATTTAATTAATTATGACGCTTTTTGTACTAATTTAATTGATCAAAGAAATATTTATTAGAATTAAAAAAATTCTTCTTTTTTTTGTTTAATGTTTTGTGTGTTGGATAAAATGACGAGAGGGCAAATAAATAGGAAGGTCATCACTTGCTTTTTTTTGGTCTAATTTTGAAGGTAAACCATCAATGGTGGACGGTCTTTTTTGGGTTTATATATTTGGATATAGTAAAGGAAGGGAAGGTGGTGACCTGTGCTGCTCAAACTGATTCTGCGCGGATATACAATGAAGAGGAGGAGAAGGTGGGGATGAGGGGGAGGGGTAGTGAGGAAGTAAAGGAGAAAATATATAAAGATTTGAGAAAAAACAAGAAAAAATAAAAATAAATTGATAGTAAATATTGAAATTATTATTTTTAAATTTTAAAAGGAATTCAAAGCTTAAACTGATAAATTTAATGAACATTAACAAAGTATTTTGCTTTAAAAAGCAAATTAATTCTTAAGAAAATATTTTAATAATAATAAAAAAACTAAAATTTTTAAGAATCCAAAAATAAAATCAAAACACAAATTTCAAGTCAAAAGTGAAACTAAAAAATTAAAAAATATGGGAAAGCGAAGCGATTTTGTAAAATGAATTGAAGAGAAAAAGGAATAAATCTGAAGAGAAAGATGAGAAAATTATGGGAGGGGAAAATTGTAGTAAGTCGCGCAGTGCGTAATGGACGGCATTCCTTATATAAATAAATATATATTTTTGAGACAACAAAAAAGAAAGAGGGGGCTTTGGAAGAAAATTGTTGTAGTAAATAAATAGGTATATTTTGTAAAGAAAATTTTTTTTATTTTTTAACTGTACATATTAAATTTATATAAAACAAAATTTTATTAATCTTGAACAAAACTTTAATTTTAAAAAATTAACTTGAAAATATAAAAATTTCGGAAATAATTTAAATTTACAATATAGAAAGGACCAAGACGAAATCCGTTATAACGCGCGGTAAATCGAGCCTTTGCTTTATGCTAGTGCATTTTCCCTTGCATCGTTGAACGGAGGTGAATAGGTTCGTTATAAAGAGGTATTCGTTATATCAAGAGTCGGCATTTACTAAAATATTTATTTAAGTAAAAGCTAATTAAATTTTCTAAATATTTACAAAATTCAAGGCTTTAATTATTTTATTTAAGGTGTTAATAATTTACTCTATTTAAAATAATATTTAAAATAAAATTCCATATATAGATACAGACCTAACTAGAAATTATTTAAATAATTCTCAACGCGCATTTCTTTTCTTTAAATCCCGGATCTTCAATTTTTGTTTTGCAATAAAATAAATGAAGAGAAAAGAAAGAAAAGTCAAAAAATTTTCTCGCGCATTTCGTATTTTATTTCTTCGTAAAATTGATTGATTGGCGAGTAAAATTAGAAAAATTAAAATGACACAGAAAATGAAGGAATTTTTAATAATGGAATTTTTATTGTAAGAAATGATAGAAGAATTATATTTAAATTTACATATATAGAATTCTTAAATTTTCCCAGAAAAGTTTTAAATAAAACTTTTTGAATAAATTAATTTTTTAAACGAAAATTAATTTAAAAAAAGAAGAAATTGAACAATTAAAATAGTAAATATTTGGGAAAGTTAAATAAAAGGTTGGAAAATAAAAGTTATATAGGGCACATTTACATTAATAGATTTATTAATAATTTTAAAAAATACTTTAATTTAATAACCAAAATTATAAGAATTTATTTTTAATTTGTGGAAAATATTTTTTTGTTAAAAATTTAAATATAAAATCAGAATATTCTTATATTTTCGACTTAAATTAAACAAATATTTATTTATTTATTTTGTCCAGCTTCATCAATATTTTTACGCATAATGACCAGTCTGTGAGTATTTTTGTTTGTTTTGATTAACGTTAAAAGAATCTCTTTATTTTAACTAAAAAATTGTTAAAAGAACTTTATAGTAGAATTTTCAAAAAATAATTTAAAAAATTAAACAGAGATAGGAAAGTATAGAAGAATTATTCAAGTTTGTAAGTATTTAAATTTTATTTCAAGAATTTGTAATGCCCAAAAAAATTTCTACTTCAATATTTAAAACAGATTTTTATTTTAATTTCTTTTCCTTAAAATTATTTTTATTATGCCATTAATAAATCAATTAAAAATAAATCTGAAAGAATTTTTGAAAATATTTAAGTAAATAATATTCATTCTTTATTGCAAAACGTTAATAAAGAGAAGAAGAGATCCGGGAATATTTAAAAGAAAAATAAAAAGAATATCACAATTAAATATTTTTGATTCGTGCGCGAGTCGTGCATCTTCTCTCCTTCTTTCACCCGTTAGCGATAATTATGATAAATTACACAAATTATTTTTAATAGAAATATATTTGGAATTTTATGAGAGATTAATATTTAAATTAAATCTTTGTTTGGAAAATTATATTAATTTAGTACAAAGAATTATATAACTGGAAAAAATTTTAATAAGATTTTTCTTTAAATAAAAAACAATCTTAAACCACTTAAAATACTTTTTTGATTCGAATGTTAGCTAACAATAATTTTTGATATTCCTATAAAGTGATTTAAAGGTGTATAATAAGGAGTTCTTTTTCCGCTCTTTAAAAACTGTGTTGCTACATTCCTATTTTGTATGCTTGTAATTTACTGTAAAGAATTGAAAAGTAAATGATATAATCTCTAACTTTCGGACAGCCTACCATTCTATGTTTTAACCGTCCGTTTAGGCATGATCTGGCCAATTCGGACAGCCTACCATTCTATGTTTTAACCGTCCGTTTAGGCATGATCTTATTGTTAAATAATTGTAGAAGAAATATTTTATTAATACAAAAATTAATATTTATTGAATAAATGCAAAAATAAAAAGATATAGCAAGTTGAATACTCTCTAACTTTTATAAAAAAAGAATTAATACAGAAAATATATATCCCAAAAAGTAAAAAAAGTTAGAGTGTAATTTATATATAGATATATTTAACAATAAAAATTTTCAAAAAATTTGATAAAATTAAAATCAACGGGAAAGACTGAAAGAAAAGACAAAAATATTTTGCAAAAATTATCACTTATCCTAAATGAAAAATATTTAAAGAAACAATTAAAATTGCAAAAACAGCCCAACAAAGAATTCCTATAGGCCATAACCAATGTGTAAATGGAGAAGATAATAAATTTAATGGAATTGTGTTTGAACCAATTTTTGTGAAAAGAGCTTTTCGGGCACTTAAAATTAACAAAGCTGGCAGAATATATTGAACACCAACACCAGGAAAACTACCTAAAAATTAATTTAAAATTTTTTGTAGAAAATTAAAAAAAATATTTCGGTTATTTATTTCTTCAACTTCCATTCAGAGGTTTTTAAGATAAAAAAACTACAAGGATTCAATACGCGTAAAAAGTGGAATCTCTCGATAATATTACTCTCAACTAAGGGTGTCGAATCCGGATCTGAAAAAAGGCTGGATATCCGAAAATTTTCGGTTCGGATATCCGAAGATTTCCAACTTTCCGACAACCTTACTCTCAACGATAACAATTTTATTTTTATTCATACGTCAACTAAATTAGCTCCCGAAGGTGTTATCTACATTCCACTACTACTATATATTTAATCAAATAGTACCAGTAATTGAAGCTAATAACAAAACATTATCTGTAGCCATCGAAATTAATGAAGGTATTAAAAGAATAATTAAAGGAATCCCATATTTTCTTAAAAATAATTTAATTGTTATTTGAGGAGGAGAATTTAAATTATTTAATAATGTAGAAGTTGATGAATGAAAATTAATTTGTTCTTCCTCAATTAAATTATTTTCATTTCCACCAAGTAAAGGTTCATTATCTTCAACTAGATTATTACTAAAAAATATTTTTTGAATTAATTTTTAAATTAAAAACTTTGTAAGTATTCCCTCTTCTTCTTGATTATCTAAATTTCTTCTAATAAAAATTCTTCCAAATTTTCCATTAATTAATAATTTAAATAATACTTTCATATTATTACATAAAGTAATTGCTACAATAATATACGAAGATGTAAGTACAAAAACTGGAAATAAAGCGAGGAAATAATCAATTAAAGAATCCCACAAATTGACATGTTCTGTTTGTTCGTGCTTTGAAAATTTAATTTATTTAAAAAATTTTTAAATAGGACGTAGCAAAATATGCAAGGAACTCCTCGATATCAGTGCATATTTTGCAAAAAGCCCGGTATCGATAATGGCCCGGTATCGGTATTTTCCTTTCGGTATCAGCAAAATCGGTATCGGGATTCAAAGAGACCGGTATAATATCGCTCGATACCGGTTGGGATCCCTATACCGCTCACCCCATAATTGAGAACAACTACTTTAATTAATGCCAGTCTTTAAGAACTATCATTAAATAAATACACAAATTTACCAAAAAATTAATAGTATAAATATCTTGTGCATGTTCAAAAGCAAAAGAGCCAGTTAAAGACAAAGCACAATAAAACAAATAAATTAAAGAATAAATTAAAAATAATTTTTTATTAAAATTATTTTCAATTCCCCTTATTGGGGAAATTAATCCAGGTATTGAATGGTGACACATAAATGCATAGACAGCAACACCAAATAAAGAACCAAAAGAATGAAAATTAATTGGTGGAGGATGTCCTTTTGGGCCATCAAGCAAAAGTAAATTTGTGGCCATTACAATCATTAAAATAAATGCTTTAAAGGAAAAAGGAATTTTTGAAGTTTTTATAGAAAATGTTCTTGTGAGAATGAGAAGGAATAAATATTTAAAATATTTTTTATTTTCAAAAAAATACTTTTAGGTATTCACGTTTAATTACTGAAATTTGGAATTATTTAAATTCTAAATGAAAATTAATTAATTTAATTAAAATGAAATCCCCGGTATCAAAAATTTCAAAAATAATTTTTTAAAAAAATCTATCGAAATCTTGACCGATAAACAAAAATTAAATTAATAATTAAATTTTGTAAAGGTTTTAAAGAAAAAACAGACAAACCAGTCCATCTAGATAAAGTAGTTGATAATTGTAACCATTTTGTTCTAGTCATTCCCAATAAAATCTTTTTTAAAAATAATATTTTTTTCTTTTTTAAGGATTAAAATCAAACCATTGGAAAACAAAATCCAACAAAAATTAAAATACAAAATCGATAAACAAAAAATCTACTAAATAAATTTAGCCAATTATTAGGTCCATTATGGCAAGGCAAATTTGGATTTAAAGAGGCAGAAGAATTTAAAGTAGAACAAATAATATTCATTAAAGATTTGGGAACCATTGTAGAATATACAGCTAAATCTCCAAATAAATAAATTGTTAATATTGTATAGGTAAATATTGTCCCTCCTGTTCCGAGAAATAAATGAGACATTTCTGCCTATTAAAAGTTTTAAAATTAGGGGATTGATTGTGGTTAGTAAAAGTATTAATAATGATATTAAATAGGGATGAAGACGTTCACAATGAGGGATTTGGGGGTATAAGACTAATCACTTTGTTAAATTTTCGAAAATTTAATAAATAGGGGAAATTAAATTCTGTTAGGCAGACCCGTAGCCAGGATTTTTTTCGGGGGGTGGGGGGATTTTCTACGCCGATTTTTCTACTCCAAAAACCCTCCTGGCTACGGGCCTGCTGTTAGGGATTTGAAATAAGAGAAATTAATTTTTAACTAAAAATCCCTTTTAATATTGACTTATGTATTAATATTCTTTTTCCCCAATATTTTAATAATCGCAAATAATTAAAAAAATTCCCCAACCAATTCAAATCTTTTATTTAAAATATATTTTTGTTCATTCCTTTCTTCATTTTCTTCTTCCCTTAAATTATTATCAATATAATTATTTTCATTATTTTCTTCAAATAAAATAGGTGATTCTTCATCTGAGGAAGCTTGTCTATTTAATGGTTTATTTGATAAATAATTAGCAATTGCCAAAGCTTCAATTACAAATGTAGCACAGATATAACTACAATTAAATTTAAATTTAGTTATTTTTTATACAAAATATTTTTTTAATATTTATTTAATTTTTAAAAACAAGACGGATATCTTGAAATAAATCTTAAATAATTTTTCAAATAAAAACTTAAAATTAATTTAACCAGACACCCGAATTTTGTATATCGGACCTAATTCATTTTATCTATATTTAAATATTCTTTGACAATTTTTATAATTTTGGCAGGTAGTCTATCCAAGTTTATATTTCATTGACTCTATTTTTCTTTGAAATTAATGAAAAATGTCAGGGATTTGGATTAATTTTTCACAAAATACTTTAATATATTTAGACACTCTAATAATTTTAAATTTAAATTAAAAACCTTGTAAATTTACAAATTAAAAGCAAAATTAAACTAAGAAGATAACCAGCTGATTGAAATGCTCTAGGTAACGTTAACGCCCCTGTACCAACAATTAAATTAAAAATATATAAAAGTCCAACTGTTGTGGAGAATGTTTGGATATTTTCTGGGTATTGAATTACCGGCATTTGTTTTTCTATAAAATTTAAATTAATTTATTTTTTAATTATTAAATTTATTTAATATTGATTTTAGTAAAAGCATTTAATAATTTTTATTTTGACAATTGAGTCATTCAACAAAAAATGAATAACGAGGGAAATTCATAAATAAAAAGAATTTTTTATAAAAAATATTTTTTTTATAAATTAAAAAAATCTTTGAAAGTTCGCACTAATTCTCTAGTATTTTTTAATTATATGAATTGTATTACAATGTACAGGCAATATGTTTAGAAACACTAACTCAAAGGCTTAATTAGTAAAATAAAAGCGATGGACGAAATAGCTTTACTTTTTCTAAAGAATTTTTAAAGGATTAAAATCATTCTCTATCCGTTGATAACATCTATTCTTAATATTTTATACAAAAGTGACAATGGTTTTACCGAAGACGATTCGATTGGGGGGGGGGGGGTGTTTAGAGAGCAGCTTTTCCTACTTTAATTGATGCAAAAATTTCTTATTTTTTCATCTAAATCTTGTATCTCAAAAATCAACGGGAAATGATTGTATTTTTGGATTAATTCAAACTCGGACAATTTTGTATTAAATTTTATGGGCTTTCAAATAAGCTACATATAGCTTAAAGGACTAAAGAAAGCCCTAATGGAAAAAAAAGAAAAATTCTCTTCATGCCATACTCGATTAATGATTAAATTTAGTATGTAAAGTTCATTCTAAAATATAGGTAAATTAAAAATACAATTTACATAAATTTATTATTATTATCGGATGTGATATTAATATTATTTTTTTGATTTTTAGTAATTCGATTTACATATATTTAGAGTTCGAACCCGGGCCGGGCCCGGACCGGTTTTTTCCGGGCCCGGTGGCCCGGAACCGGGTATTTTTAAGAAAATCCGGTTTTTCCGGGCTAACCGGTTTTTCCGGTTTTACCCGGAAAAACCGGCCCGGGTGCGATTTTGAGTAAAAAAACCGGGTTCCGGGCCCGGTAATTTTTTGCCGGGCCCGGAGTGGGAGTTTTGGAATGGAAGTTTGGCTGAAAATGGAAGTTTTGGCTTAAGGATCTCCCAAAATTTTCAAAATTTTTGCCTGCGGCGCTGGAAAAGTAAGAAATCTAGTGGATTGCAGTGATGTCAAAGTTCCAGTTCCGGAACTAATTAGTTCTAGTTCCAGTTCCGGAACTAAAACTACTGAACTAACGATTATGTGGAACTAGTTTGGAACTAGAACACGGAACTAGTAAATGCCTGGAACTAGCTTTGGAACTAGTTCTTGGGGGTATATTTTTGACAAAATTTCCTCGACGACGTTTATGGTATTTATAATATTGTTGTAAATTACCTGCAGCGTGTTGAAAATGGAAGAAATTTGGCTGCTTGAGCGCGTTGAAATGTGAATTTTTTTGGCCTACGACCTTAGAAATTCTTAAAATTTTCGCCTGCGGCGCTGAAAAAGTCTCTATTATGTGAAAACCCAGAAATCCCGCAGGATCCCGCTAAATTTTAGAACGGGATTATCTGGATTACGGGTGGTTTCTAGTGGGTTGGTTTTCTATAATCCTCAAAATTTTCGCCTGCGGCGCTGGATAAGGAAAAATATGGGGATATTGGATGATTTGCTACTTTTAAATCCACCTTAATCACACGGTAACCCTCCACTGCCCTTTTATCCCTTCATATCATTCCTAATCCCGTTATACTTCCAGACATCGAGGTTTTAACTGAAGATACTTCTTTACATTGTTATCACCATAATTCCCCCTATATCCTTTTCATTCTCCAAAATCTCTCGTTATATCGTGTTAACCAACTAAATCCATCTGCCTTACACTAATAAAGATATATGTAGTCGGGATATCACGGGTATCATTGGGTATGTAGATTTTTTATGTTTTTAATAATTTAGAAAAAACCGGGTCCGGGCCCGGGTCTGAAAAAATCCGGTTTTTCCGGGCTAACCGGTTTTTCCGGTTTTATCCGGAAAAACCGGTCCGGGTGCGATTTTGAGAAAAAAAACCGGGTCCCGGGCCCGGCATTTTGAAAAGTTCGAACTCTACATATATTACTATCTATTAAATTTAAAAAAAAACTAAAATATAAATATTTTCATTACTATTTAGTATAATACATACAATTATTTACATAATTTTTTCTGTTCACATTTTTACAAAAAAATATTTTTACAAATTTCCCCCCATCTTTTTTTTCTAAATTTAAAGTAGTAGCAGCTGGCTGCAGATGCGCGGCGCCTTTTGCTTAACCAACAACCACTCAATTTTAAAAGCAAATTGGTTAAAGAAATGAAGGATGAAAGAAGGAATATATTTATTTGTGTTTTGTTGGGGGGAATGTTTTGATGATTCGATCACTTGTTTTAATCCCTTGCCGAGGAACAAAAAGCTTTCACATAGAGGATCCAGCTTCTTAATTTCGTTAAGTATTACCAAATTATTGGTATCTTTCTACCCAGCTCGAAGAGTTCTTTCGAATGATATGTGCTAAATTGTAGATCAATCAAGAAGGCTCAAAATGGTCAGGGGGATAGTCTTTTGTAATCTCACCAACAATTACTTTTATAATTTTATAAATTAAATATCCGTACGTAAAATTTAATTTTCTATTAAAAGTTAATAAATATATGTAGGTATTTTCAATAATTCCCAACAATTTTTTTAAACTTTCTTATCAAAATTTTAACTTTACTCAAATGGTTCCTTCCTTCACTCCCTCTCAACCACCACCAACTAAATACCCCCAACCACACACATAAATATAAAATCGCATCGATTGTTCTGCGCCTAACCATAGCCTTGCAAAACACCATCCAAAACAGCATCCGATGAGTGTCCGTCCGCCTTACTTTTTTTCATTTTGTGTGGTTGTAGTAGTATGTATTAGCTCGCCATTTTGTGGTGACTAAAAAGTTGGGAAATTTTATATTAAAAATTTTATTTTTTTTTGTAAAAATTCTTTTTATTTTTAAAATATTTACTAAAACTACTGCCCAATTCTAACAAAAATTTTAAGCGATAGTATAAGAAGGAGATTAGTTAGCTAACATACATATAAACATAATTTCACGAATCTACAAACCTTTACAATGTTTTCTTTATTTAGTTAACCCTTTTGTTTAGCCTTCTTCCCACAATTTTTTCCTTGTCAACTTTAATATTCTTTTAAGCATTTGATTGTTTTCTTCCTTTTTTATTGTCTTCAAAATCAAAACTTTTTTCTTTAAATTACCAATTTTTAACCAGTTTTCTTTTCTTTAACCAAAAAATAATTTTTTTCTCACTAATATTTAGCGGTATTTTCTCTTTAAAATTAAATTTTTTGTTAAATTTTAATTTTCAATATTAACAAATAGTAGATAGATTAAATTACACTTTTATTTTATTTTCTCATTTTTATGCTTCTCTTTAAAATATTTAAAAATCAAAAATTTTCTTTCAATTAAATAAAATCCATCAAAAAAAATTATTTTTTAAAAATTTATTTCTTTCTCTTTCTCTTCAAATACCTGTTGTCTCTCCCCCACATTTACACAATTTTTACTTATTTTTTTTAAATACCTGCGCGAATCTTTTCCATTTATTTTTCACGCTGCTTTTAATTGTGTGTATCGGCGGGCAGATGACACTAAACAAAAGAGGTGGAAAAATTAAATGAGAAAATTTTTTTAAAAAAGTTTGCAAATGAAAAAAAGAATTTTTACGAACAAATATATTTAAAACATAAATATTTTCTTTTTTTTCGTTACATTTACTAATGTAAAAACAAATTTATTTTTTATAGTATATATTACTCATCCTTATTAAATAAGTAAATAAACACTTTAAATAATTATTAGGTTAATCCCTATTCGTAATTATCTTTAAAGAAATATTTTAAACAAAAGTTTAAATAAATAAATTAATAATTTTAAATAAATTTTATATTTAAATATTTATTCGATTTAATAAAAAAATGTTTTTTTAAATAAATTTATTTTAAATTGTTTATATTTGTTGCACTTTCTAACATATATTTTCTAACTAAAAATTTCTCTTTTTTTCTAACCAACCGTTTAATTTTAGATTGATCGTCTTCGATTGATTTGAAAGAAAATATGTATATGTATTTAGCGGTAACAAAAATTTAAAGAGAACTGCCGACACATTTACTTACTTATTTTTAGGCTATTTAATTCTCTTAAATATTTACTCCAACTAAGTTTAAAATATTTGTTTGTTTTTTAAAACCCGAATTTGTATATTTAACGAGATTTTATTGTATTTTATTTTTAATTAATTTAGCTATTTTTCAAACTTTTTGAAAAGTTTTGTGTATTCAAATACTTCCACATACATATATCCCCTCCCCATACCCCTTTACTACTAAAATATATTTGCATTATTTCCAAACATTTTTGTGGCTCAATTTTATCCCTCGATCAGCCTTCAATATTCGATTCACGTAAAACTACTGACAGCTTCGCCTTCTTCCTTAATCTAAACTTAATTATTTTTATTTAAATAAATATATTTTTGTTGTTTTTTTAGATAAATAAAATTTAAATTTTTATAAAAAACACAAATTAATTTGTTTAGAAAACAATAATTTTTTTTGTAAATTTCCACTTTTGGATATTTCCTTAAAAAATAAATTTTAAATATTACCCCTCGTGTGTTCTCATTTTATCACAAAATTAATTGTTTCCGTTATTCCTTTCCCATACAAATAAATTAATATTAACTAAAATTTAGCGAAAATGTCATCAATTTTTTTGTTTTTTTTTATTTCTGTTTCTTGATTGCGCACAAATAAACACAATTTGTTTCTAGCTAAAAAAGTTTTGGGGATTATTTTAACGGAAATAAAAAATTTTTAAAATTAATAATTGTGACCTTGACTTTGTTAATAAATAAACTAACTGTTTTTTAAATTTAATTTAATTAGTAACAGGAAATTTAAAAACACTAATACTTTTCTTAAATTCCCCTCTCTTTCAATTTTTTATCTTTTTAAATAATTTATTTTACAA